GGCAACGGAATGAGGCGCTTTGTGCATGGGCACCCGCAGCGCAGAACTGCTGGGGCCTGTGCCCGCGGGCCTCTGGCGCTGACCCGCTCTGCGCTCCTTCCCAACCCGGCGGCTCGTCTGTTGGGACTGCTCTTAGGAGCAGAGGCCGGGCCACACGGTGGGCTCCCCGAGGAGACCCGGGGCCTCCGGAGGCACGGTGACCATGGCGATCCCTGAGCCGTGCGCACTGGGGACAGGTTCACCAAGAACAACTCACTCCGATTAGTGAGTCCCAAACCTCTCCTTCCCAGCGCGTCCCCAGGGCCTGCCCTGGACCAAGACCCTGGGCTGTGTCGCTGTAGGAAGGCATGTGTTTGTCTCGCTGTCTGTCTCGAAGTCTGTCTGTCTCATGGCCCGGCCGGGACAGACGTGATCTGCAGGTCCCCAGGCTGGGCGACGTGGGCCCAGTGCTCAGGTGCGTGGGGCAGGGACCCCGCATCCCCCTCAGAACAGGGAGCCCTGGGGAGATGGCGGGCAGGCAGCCAGAGAGAGTGCGGCCAGCAGGAAAGCGGACCCCGGGGTTCCAGCCCACAGTGTGGGGTGCACCGCGGCCCCTCCTGGGCACCTGTCACCCCTCAGTCACCCATTTGTCATTTGTTCAGAGTCACCGACCGCCTGCCTGGAGGCCAGCTTGGGAGGCCTGGGTCCGGGGGTCTCCGTCCAGGGCCCGGCCGGGGCCCTGGGCCAAAAGAGCAGCCTCCGCACCGCAGCCCGCGGCAGGGCGGGGGGTCACGGTGCCAGCCCCGGCTGCGCCCAGGCCAGGCCGAGCGGCTGAGTCTGAGACTGAGCGCGTGCACCTGTCCTGGGTAAAGGCAGCGTGAAGACCGAGCCGCGGCCGCGGCCTGGCCACTCAGCCTCGCTGCCACCTGCACACCCTCTCAGACTGCCACCGGGTCCCCTGGCTGGATGCCCAGCCAGAGTGTCCCAGCCCCCTGCCCCCCCCACCCCAGCTCGGACAGCACCGTCTGGCTGCCCCTGCCCCCCCCCATCAGTGCTGCAGGAAAGAGCCCTGGATGCCGGGGGCTTGGGCACAGTGGAGGGGGTGCGGGCTTGGCCTTGGAAATCAGGACCTGGGGCCAGCAGAGCGAAAGGGTGCCTGCCCCACCGCGAGCCCCCTCCCCCCGGCCCAGTGGCCCTGCTCTGAGCCCCCATCCTGCAGGATGTCCCTTGGGTGCCCCCGCTCAGCCTGGGCAGCCCCAAGCGGGCCACCCGTTCCCAGCCCGGTCACCGGTGCCTCACGCACCAGGGCCAGGCACAGGGCCACCCCACACGGGGGCCTCCGGCGCTGCCATCCGCCCTCGCTGTCGCCAACCCAGCTGCGCCCCCCCGCTCGGCCGCCCCCAGCCCTGCTTTGCAGGGCCCGGCGAATGGCACAGGGACAAAAATTAGACGAGCAACGGAAATGTCGGGAGAGCAGAGCCAAAATAACCTTCCTTTGTAGGTTGTCTGTTTGTGCGTCTTGGAAACCTCCGAGGCTCGGGTGAGAGCGGAGCTGGGAAGAGAAGGGCGGGAAAGCAGGGAGCCCTGGTGGCCCCGCGGTTGGCGGCTGCCCCCACCCCCCGCCTGTCGCCCCGGCCCCGCGGGCCGCTGGCGGCTCCTGCGGCGTGACCCCCCTTCCTCTGGATCTCCAAGGCTTCACCCTGCCATCCCCAGGCTCCTGGGGCGTCCTTGCGCGATTCAGTCCTGCTGGAGAGACACATCCCAATGCCGCCAAGGGCCCGCCTGTGGGGGAGATGAGGGGCGGCGCCCGGCCGCCAGCCCCGCCCCCGAGCAGCTCCTGCGGCCCTTGGAGCGGCAGCGTCCTTTGCGAGAACCCCCACCCACGGACTCAGGGGACCCCGCGCCACACTCGGGCGTGTGGGCCCAGCCCCGACTCCCAGGCGAACAAGGGCTCTTCGTTTTCTACCAGTTTTTCTCTGTAGCCCGGTCCACCAGGCCGGCCGAGCCCCGGCAGCCTGGCCGGTGCCGGCCGCACCCTTTTCCCCAGGGCTGCGTCCAATCGAGGGGCCACGCCCCACACCGGCGCCCGAGGCCGCGAGAGGCTCACCTACCTGCCCAGAGCCCCTCGCCCGCCTGTTACCACTCTGAGGTCTTGCTCCTCGGGAGGGACAGACGTTATTAGGAGGCTAAATAGACGTGGGGCTCTGTCGAGTGTTTAAGGCGGAGACTCCCAACAGTGACGGTGGTATCCTTTCCCACGGCCACCCGCGAATGAACGGGATTCCAATTAAAACCCTGGGAGGTTATTCTGGGACTGGACCCCTGAATTCTGAAGCTCCCCTGTGAGGACACGTTGTGAGAAGCGACAACCGTCTTTCAGAAAGGAGAGCAAAGAGGGGAGCCCGCCTACAGTCGCTGAGCCTGCCGTGAACCTGCCAGAACCGAAATCACGCAGCGGGGACGCGGTGCAGAGCGCCCGGGGGACCTGCCAGCCGCGGGCGGGAAGCCGGCGGCAGACACGCGGGGGGCGCATTCTCTCATCCAGGTGGCACTTTAAGCCAAAGGGGGAGGACTACGTACGGAGTAAGTGGCTTTGAGACAAACTGGCCACTTCTTCGACGGAGGCACTGCCTCCAGCCACGTTCTAGACCCCAGGTGGGCTGGATATCGGACCACGGCCCCACGTCTGTGACAGCGTGAGAGGAAATACAGACACTCTGTTGTCTCCTGAGGTTGGAAACCCAGAAACCATAAAGGACCAGCGAGGCATGGCTGCGTGGAATGTGAGCGCTTGCACCTGGGCACAGTGAAGACGCCAAAATGAAGACACATAGAGACATTTGTAAAACATGCTCCATGGAAAAGACTGTGTCCCTAACACACAAAACGGCCTACGGGTCAGTCAGGAAAAGACAAGCGTCCCGACGGAAGGGTGAGCTGCGGGCGCGGTCAGGCTGCGGCCAAGGAAGCGCGCTGGCTGACAGACGTGGACACGGTCAGCACGCGAACCATTTTTTACATGGCAGTTCAGTAAGAGCCTAGCTTTCGTCTCCCGGCCTGGCAACTGTCCCCAGCATCGGACAACACTGCTGCTGGCCAGGGTGGGGGGGCCAGGCCGGGCCGGGCCGGGGCCCAGCGGCCTTTGTGGGGGCGGCACGCCGTATGCAGGCAGACACTGCACCCGGCTCAGCGCCTCGCTTCTCGAAGTCGATCCAGCAGGAACAATGACGTGAGCCCCTCAGGACAGGCGGACCAGGGGGGCGGCAGCGGCACCGACAGCCCTGTGCCCCCAGGCGCCGGTGGGCACGCAATCTCTGCTCATTTGTTCAGGGAAGCACTCAGCCCACGCCAAAATGAGAGAGTCTGTCTAGGTGTGCTGACCAGGACCGATGTCCTGGGCGAACTCCTCAGGGCCCAGCGGCAGGCCGTCTGCGGGCGCAGCCACCTGCCCATCGGACCAAGCGCGTCCCCCGGACTGTGAAGGACAACCCTCAACCGCGACCGGGAGGCTGGGGACTCCACTCAAGCGCCTTGAGAGGCGGGGACACAGACCCAGCCACTCGGAAGCGGGGGCTGGGATTTCATGTCCAGGCTCTGTGCTGTCTTCCCCGGCAGTCCCCGCTCATTTCTCACCATGCGTCCTTCTTAAAAGACCTGGGAGAATTCCCGTCCTTTTTTTTTTATTTAGATTTTATTTGTTTATTTTTAGAGAGGGGAAGAGAGGGAGAGAAACATCCATGTGTGGTTGCCTCCCGTGTGCCCCCCACAGGGGACCTGGCCCGCAACGCAGGCCTGTGCCCCGACTGGGAATCGAACCAGTGACCCTTCGGTTCGCAGGCCGGAGCTCAGTCCACGGAGCCGCACCCGCCGGGGCCATTCTTTTTTGTTTTAAATACTTCCTGCAAAGAGTAAACTCAGCACGCAAAGGTGGTCATCAGAGTTGGCCCAAGTCCTCCCGGACCCCCGGCTCCCCTCTCCCCACCACAGCGCCAGCCTCCAGCCTCCCTTCGCTCACCCCCTGGGAGCTGCCCTGCGTCCCTGCCGACCGCGCTGTCCCAGGGTCCCAAAGCACCAGGCGCACGCAGCGGGTAGCACGCTTTGCTGGGGCTCGGGCGGGGGCGGGGTGGGGTACACTGCAGCGCGCAGGGCAGACTTCTAACGGCGCGCGGACAGCCCTCGGCCAGTTCCACCTGCGGGACATGGACACCGCTCTCCAGTGGCCCCGCTGTCCTCTCTGGGTCGCTCACCCTGGACCCCCAGGTGCCGCTCCATGGCTCCTCCGAGGAGCCTGGGAGGGAGGTCAAGGCCAGCTCTTGGTGGAACATTGTCCTTTCCAGAGAGCCCAGGACCCCGAAGTGACCATGGCTTGGGCCAGCCACACAGGGAAGAGGAAAAACTGGCCAAAGACCGGACCCCAGAGGAAGCCTGGAGCGGCCGCCAAGCATCACGAGGTGAGCCTGGGCCACAGGACAAGCTGCAAGGCCAGTGGGTGGGAAGGCCGCGGGGGGAGGGGCTCGGGCACAGGGACAAGACCACAGGGCCTCAGCTGGAACGGGGAGAGGGCCAGCTAAGCAGCACCCTAACACTCACCTCCAGGGGTCCCGCCCTGCCGCATCCCGTCCAAAGTGCCCCAAGGCCTCTGTGCCCTCCCACACGGTGGGGGGGCTTCCCCAGCCCCCGGACCCTGCCTGGGGGCGGGGGATGTCTGGTTAAAGGGGCCTGTGAGTGCATCTGCACGCCCCTGCGTCCGTGTGGGCCGGCGTCAGGCTGCGCGTGGCTGGGCCTCCCCCTGGGGCCCTGCTCACCCCCGCTCTAACCCGCCCCGCCACGGCTCCGCAGCCTCGCCAGGCCCGCGGTCCCCCAGGGAGCCCGGCATCACGGCCCCGTGCCTGGCTGGCGTTCGCCTGCTTTTCCCCAGCACCTCACGCCCGACCCCCTGGGGGAGCCCGTGCCCCTACGCCCAGGCCTGGAGCCAGGTCTCTAGACTCAGAAATAACTTTATTTCTCTGTGGAAGACGCCCTCACAGCTTGGCTGCTGAGCTGGGCACGGCTCAGCCCGGCTTCCTTTCAGCGACCTGGAGGTCCCAGCCCCCCGCCCTCACCCCCAGACGTCCTGCCCAGCCAGGGGACGCTGATGTCCGGCGGGTGCCCTGCTGGCTGGGACTCGGAGCTGGTGGAGAGACAGGGAGGGGCGAGGGCCACAGACGGTGGGGCCGAGCGGAGGAGGAGGCAGCCGCAGGCTCCAGGGCACCAGCTCAGAAGCCTTTCGGAGGGAGGGCAGCTCAGGGCCCAGCCCGGAGGAGGGCGGGGCCCAGGCTGAGCAGGAGGCCCCCCGCCAGGGCCCAGGGGCTACCCCCCGCCCCGGGCGCCCCATTGCACAGATCCTTCTCGCAGCAGTCCACGTCCACTTTTAAGATCCCAGAGTTAATGAAGCCCATCAGGTAATCTGAAAAAAAGTGCCGCTTCACGAAGTCGCAGGACGAGGCGCACATCCTGTTCACGGAGTGGTCCTTCCGGCCTGGGGGGTGGGGAGGGCCTGAAATGCGAGCCCTGCCTGGACCCTCGCTGCCTCCGGCCCAGGCCAGGCCCAGGGCCGGGCCCGGGGCCCCAGAAAGGCCGGGCTGGGCCGTCACCCAGCCCACGCTGTCCTCAGTGACATGGGAGGGGCCACGGGGAGGGGGCCAGGGCCAGACGGGCACCAGCTCAGGGTCACACAGCGGGCCAGAGGGCCACAGACCACCCCCAGGCTCGCTCCCCGGGGCCAGGCGCCAGCTTACTGCTGCTGGGGTCGGCGATGCGGACGCTGGCGCACACCGTGTCGGACGGCTGGCACTGCTTCGGGGCGCAGCGGCTGGAGTTGGTGGTCAGGGTGCAGTCCTGGCACCACAGGCCGTGAGCTGGGCGGGCCGAGGGCAGGATGACCAGAGGGGCCGAGGGCCAAGCGGGCCAGCCCCCGCCTCCTCCCACCTGCTGCAGGTGCTCCTAGGACAGCCCCGCGGCTGCGGGCGGCTGTGCGGCCCCCAGCCTGCCGCGGCCAGGCCAGACTGGCACCTGGAGGACAGGCCCTCCCTGGCTTCCCCTGAGAGTGCCCCTGCGCGCACAAGCCCCTAACCCCCTCGGGTACATGCCACCTTTCCCAGAGTCCTGTTCGTCCTAAGTTTCCAAGGACCAAACAGGACTCGATGGGCAGCCAGGTGGGGCTCTGAGAGCGATGGAGCCCAGAACCCCGGCACTGAGCAGGGCCTCCGTGCGGGACCAGAGGGTGCAAGGCCCCGAGGCAGAGCGCTCTGTGCCCTCAGGAGCTGGGAGGGCCCCGCGGGGTGGCCGGGGCCAGGCGGGGCTGTGCGCTTGATGGGCACGCTGACAGGACGGAGGCTGGGGCCCCGCAGGCCGGCCCTCTCGGCGAACCGGCCCTCCCCGAGGGCGCCCGGACTCACCGGGGGCGGAGCCCAGCAGGGCAGCCAGCAGCGCCACGCTGAAGCCCTTCATGGCTGCAGGCAGCATGCTCCAGGGGGGCCTCGCGAAGGCGCGGGGGCTGCGGGCGCGGGTCCTCTGGGGCGCAGGCCTGGCCAGGAGAAGCCTCGGTCAGCAGACACAGCCGCCCCGCCCCGCCCCGCCCCCACAGCTGGCCCGAAGGGCCCTCTCCTTTCCTGGCCTCCAATGCAACCTCCTCCCGGGAATCCTCCGCCGGGGTCGCCCGGGAGCTCGAAGAGCCCCACCCCCAGCCCATCCCCCACACAGCATCCCCTCCAGCGAGCCCGGGTCTGCCCTCCGGCCAGTGACAGGCTGAGGCGCGCCCACCCCGCGCCCGGCACCTGTGAGACAGCGAGTGTCGGGGGCGCGTCTTCTCCTCCTCCCGGGGGAGCGGCGGTGCGTCCGGGGAGGAAAGGGCAGGGCAAGGTTCGAGAGAACGGTACCTGCTGGTGGGGGGAGGGGCGCGCGCTACGCCCCCACCCGCACCCGGGCTCGGGGGCCGGGGACCCCCCGCGGAACCCCCTCCCTTCGCCGCCCCCGCACACGCCTCAGCGCTCACCGCTGATCGGAAAGCGGAGCGCAGGCCACGGGTCGGGAGGCCCACTCACATCCCTGGGGTGTCCGCGCTCGGACGCTCAGGGCGGAGCGGGCGGTGCTGGGGGCGCGGGAAGCGGCGTCCTCCGGTCTCCCTGTGGACCGGAATCGGGGCGCAGCCTCGTCTTTGGGGGAACGCAGCCGCAGACGCGGACCCCGCGCGAGGGGCGGAGCTGGGGCCGGGGGGCCGGGGCGCGAGGGGCGGGGGCGGCGGGAGGCGCGCTGCCGGGGCGCCCCGGGCTCCGAGGCCCGAGCCTGGCCGCTGTCCCGGACCGTCCGGTGCCAAAAGCCAGGCGGCACCGGCCCGCCCGCGCGCCCGCGCTCTCCAGCTCCCGCTCCCTCCACCGCCTCCGCCTCCCCCTGCCCAGGCGCGGGCGGGATCCCTTCCCCCTCCGCTTGGCTGAGATCCCCTTGGAATTTCTCGGAAGAACGTTTACTGCGAAAAGAAGCGAGACGCACAAGGACGCAGAGAGGGAGGGAGGTAAGGAGCCCACGTGCGGGTGCGCGTCCGTGTTCACAGACTGGCAGCCTTGCCCCTGCGCAGCCCCGGCCCGTCCGGCCGTTCGGGGCCCTTCTCCCCGAGCGCCCGCGAAGGCCCCGAGCGAGTAGCGGCTGCAGCCCCGCGGACGGCCGCCTCCACCCGCCAGCCCCCAACCAGGGCAGGACGTCCAGGCCCGCGGCTGCTGCCCGGGCCGCGGCCTCAGCCTTGGCTCGAGCCTCCGCCCGCGCAGCTCTCGGCCTCCTCAGCCTTTGCACCCGCGCCCCCCGGGCCCGCAGCCGGTCTCGGCGGGGCTCCGCAGAACCCGCAGCGCGGTGCCGCCCGGGCCGTCCAGCAGCTAACTACGCGGTGCCCGCTGCTGGCCTGGCGCTGCCCTGGGGCCCCGACAAGAGGAGAAGAGGGTTCTGTCCCTTGAATCGTACATCAGACGAATGATTGTCACTGATATGTCCTTGTGAGATGTGCCAATCTCAGCGTTCACTGAGCGCATAGTGTGTGCCCTAAACCCTTGCTGCGTGTCACCTCGTTACCCTGTGCCCTGAGAGCAGCGGCGTGTTGTCGTGGGTCCCATCTCAAGGGAGAGGAAACCACGGCACTGAGAGGTTGGGATCCCTGCCCAAGGTCACACAGTGAGTGACCCAGTGACCGGCGGGTGACCCTGCTGATGCTGGGACCTAAGGCCTGGCTCCAGGGCCCGTGGCCTCCCCGCCCTCCTGCGCTGGGAGCAGTGAAGGCAGAGGAGGAGCCCACGCAGCCCGGGCTCGGGGCTGGGCCTCCCGCAGATCCCACGGACCTCAAACGCCAGCTCGAAGTCAGGAATCAGAGGCGCCCACAGGAAAGAGGCCTCCAAAGTGCGGCGCCGCAGAAGCAGCGACGAGGGACGTTTTTGTCCCCACACACTTTCCAAATCGAAGGTGCCAGAGAGAGAGAGAGTATAAGAGCCATCTGCTCTGCAGGTTTAAGATACAGTAAAGGAAAGAACACTATCCAAATGGACCACGCTTACATGAGGGAAAAGGAAAAAGAAACCCTAGGAATGAAAAACTTTGCCTTGAAATTAAAAAGCCAGCAGAAACCTTGGAAGAATTATGCTAAGGGAAAATAAAAGTCACTGAGAAGCACACGTTGTATGATTTCCTTTCTGTGAAATGTCCAGGAGAGAAGCAGGTCAGCGGGCGCCTGGGGCCCCCCCTCCCAGGAGTCAGGGCCCCCGTGGGCGTGCGGGCGGTGTTCTAAAGGCAGGCAGCGCGGACGGGCGTGCGCGTGACCAGTGGGGAACTGCGGAGTTACAGACTTCAAAGGGGCGCATTTTACAGGAGGCGGGTTGTATTTCAAGACAACAGCTGTGAGAGAAAAAAAAACAACTCCGCAAATTAGACACCGTGGAAGAAGGAACGTGTTAACTGGAATATCAATCGAAAGACATTGTCGAAAATGGAGCACGAGGGATAAGGAGACAGAAAATGGAAAAGAGAAGCTCAGACAGAAAGGACAGCGCACCGAGAGTTAACACGGGTCTGGCCGGAGTCCCAGCGTGCAGAGTCACTGTTTGAAGAGATTACGCTGCAGAATGTTCCAGAACTGGTGAAAGATAAGTATTTACAGAGAAGCACAATGGGTACTAGAGAGAAGAAACAAAAAGAAAATCCCCACCTAGGTACCACCTAAGGAAATCACAAGCCACCGGAGACAAAAGATTTCCAAATTAGCCCAAAGGGAAGGAAGCTCCGCTCTAAAAAAATAGTCGCGGGCTGACAGCAGAATTGGAACAGCAACAACACAGGCGAGAGACAGTGGCGCGGTGTCCTTGGAGGAACCAGAACAACAGAGACTGACGTTCACCTCAGTGGGCTTGTGCGCAGCGGGCCGCTGGCAGGGCCGTGGGTGGGCCTCCCTGATCAGCAGGAGGTGTGGGTGGGACAAAGGCTGACCTCCCCCAAGCGAGAGGGGGTTCTGCCAGCGAATGGCCTTTGCCCTCGAACTGAAACACTGGCTCTCCTGCCTGCGGGCCCACCCTGCAGAGTTTGGACTTGCCAGCCTCCACAACTGCTTGCGCCAATTCCTTAACGTGAATCTGTCTCTTTTGCTTTCTCTCTCTCTCTCTTTCTCTCTCTCTTTCTCCATGTATATGTACACACAGACACTCACCTATGAAGTCAGAAGTCAGGTCTGTCCGGAAAACATCCAGCCATAGTTAAAATAACAAGAACAGTTTGCATGATATTGGTGTACCCGGGCAGCCACGTCAGTTGGGGGTGGTCGGTACCACTGAGCGAGCGTGCGCACTGTGTGGCCGTCACATTCAAAATGACTGGGCGAGTAGAGCAGCGAATCTGCATCATGTTTTGCATTGAGTTCGCACATTCTCTGCAAACACGACTCAGGAGGCCACAGCTGCAGGCAACTCGTGACTGGCAGCCTCGTCACGGCAACACGCCTGCTCATGCATCACGTCTCGTGCAAAGTTGTTTAGCAAAACATCAAATTGCCCAGGCGACTCAGCCCCCCTACAGCCCAGATTTGACACCCTGGGACTTCTGGCTTTTCCCAAAACTAAATCACCTTTGAAAGGGAAGAGATTTCAGACCATCGATGAGATAGAGCTACCTAACACAGATGCAGCTCTTGGAAATTGGGAGAACTGTGTGAGGTGCCAAGGTGCCTCTTGGAAAGGGACTGAGGTGTCACTGTCCCATGGACCATGTTTCTTGTATCTTGTGTCTTCTTCAATGAATGTCTCTATTTTCTGCAGTGCTTGGCTCGATACTTTCTGGACAGACCTCATGTATCGCTCTCTCTCTCTCCCCCCACCCCCCTGAAAAGGAACCTCCTGTGCTGTGAGGCAATGAATCCGTCCTGGCCTCCACCCTCTCTTTCCATCCCGTTTCTAAAATGGCACTGATCGCTGACCTTGAAACCATTTCCAAGTTCTCTTGACTTTGTCCAAGACATTGTGAGGCCATAAATGGTGCTGCTTTAAGCCCCTACATGTTGGGGTCACTTGTTATGCAGCCCAAGATGGTACAGGAGGCGGGGCTGGTGTAACCCCGGCGAGGACATTGCGGGCAGGAGCCCCATGTCCCAAGAGCAACGCCCAAGGAGCGGGGCGCTGCAATGCCCAGTGCCCCGGGGACCCTGGTAGGGCCGTTCCCCCGAGAGCCCGGACCAGAGCTCTGCCAGGTGGGCTTGGTTGCCAGGGAAACGGAGATTCCTATCCCAGTTTCCAAGCTGCTCTCTGCCTTCCTCCCGATGCCCACGTGGGTCAGTGTCCTCCTATCAGGATTTTGTAAACGAGAATAACAATCCATCAGGATTAGCAAAAGAAAGGGCCTTTTTCAAGGGAGTAGGAGGAGGCGTGGCTGCAGGGCCCACCCCTTCAGAGGGCCCGCAGGAGCCGGTGACGGACAGAGTCAGAGGCCACCGCCCTCCAGCCATTGGCCGGCACACCTGGCGCCCAGAGCAGAGGGAGGAGTCTCTGGGTCAGCCCGGTGGTGAGAGGCGAGTCTGGGGTCACAGAGAGAGGCTCTGCTGAGCTTCCTGCCGGGGACTCCGGGGATTCCGGGTGGCGGCCTCAGAACCCCCCCAGGCCTTCGCGAAGGACGGCTGCCTTACAAAGAAGGGCCATTTCCCAGAAGACCGGCGGCCTGGCTCACCGAGAGGGCCTGCCAGGGTCCCGGGGGCACTGTGTCACTCTCATAGCGCATTTCCTGAAGGGCTGCCGAACTCTGAGATGGGGGCCATCCCTGACCCCAGAGGCCCCAGAATAGCGAGGGGACAGGAAGGATGCTTGGCTGAGCGGTGGCCCCCAAAAGATGTTCAAATCCTCGCCCCCACCCCCCTGGCCTGGGGTTACGACCTTGTTTGGAAAAAGGGTCTGTGGATTGGATTGAGGTAAGGCTCTGGAGACGAGGCCATCTGTGTCCTTATGGGAGGAAGGAGGGGCCGGGAGGCGGAGGCCAGAGTGGTGTGGCCGTGCCCAGGAGCGCCCAGGAAGCTGTGGCTCAGCAGGACGCGAGGTGCTGCACAGAGCAGCAGGCAGGAGAGAGAGGACGCAGCCCCGGGACACACAGGAAGTGGAACGGGGACCGGAGGGAGCCCTGGATGCTGACGCTGTGTGCACGCTGTGGCAAAAGGGACGTGAGGCCAGGGCGCGCCAGGAAGCAAGTTGTGGTGAAGAAAACTGAGGAGGAATGGGACTCATGTCTGCTGGGTGCAGAGGACCCCGCTCCAAGACAAGGGGCAAGCCAGGCAGGGCCGGGGAGGGACGGGCAGTGGGCATGTGCGCTGGCGGAGACGCGCCCCATCCTGGGGTCCGGGGCAACTTCCGAGGACAGAGCCCGGGAGAGGGTGCATAGAGACTGCTGGATGGCAGGCGGGAACCCAGAACAAGCCCACCACAGCCTGCCAGGGGGCAGCCAGCGGCCCTCACCCGCGGAGTCTGTCGTTTTCCTGGGGTTGCAGAGACTGGAGGTGTGGAGCTGGGAGTGTCGCTAACCAGGGTAGGAAGGGCCGACAGCGTTGGCTGAGGGGCTGAGCCTGGCGGGGGGGGGGCAGTGAGGGACATGGGGCCAGGTGTCTACTGCAGCCAGGAAGGAAGCGGGACAGCAGGGACCCCCCATCCTTCCCCTGGGTCACGCCCTCCCCGCCCAGCTCACAGGAAACAGACGCTTCTCCCGCGGCTCTTGGCACCCACTTCCCTGCCTCCCGGATGTGGAGGTTCGGAGGCAGAGGTGTGGGTGGCCAAGAGTGGCCGTGCTGGCGTGACCCCGGGAGAGGGCTAGTGAGCTGAAGCTGAGGGACAGGCCCCCAGGAGTGAGGGCGTCAAGGACCCCGGGGCTCCCCCTGGCTGGGGAGCAGAGGAGAAAGGGAGACTCATGTCCTCAGGCAAGGGGAGGGATAGGGCAGCAGGGGCGACGGTGCCTGGAGCAGGGAGCAGGGAGCAGGGAGCATGGCAGAGGCGGGTGCCTGCGCATGGGGGGTTCGGAGGGGTGGGCCGGGATTAGCTGGGCGGGGCCGCTCGCTCGGAGTGAAGACAGGCATTTCCCTGCAGGAAGCTCCCAGCCTCAAGGTTTGAACCAACTTCATCAGCAGCTTCTTACCTGCCGAAGGATGGCAGGCTCCACTGGAAAGAAAAACTGTCCTCCTAGAGAGAAAGCCAAGTGCACGCTTGGGGGCCAAAGAAAAAAAATGCCTCCGATAAAGAAGGTCACCTGGCCACAGCAAGCTCCGTCCGGCAGGGAGAGGCGGCCCTTAAATGCAAACATCTGAAGAGACGGCTGGACAGTCCTTAGCTGCACACCCATCTCAGGGAGTCGGGGGAGCGATACGAGAGGGAAGGGGAAGGAAGGAGACCAAGGCCATCTCAGGAGTCTGCGCTCGGAGCAGAAACAGTTGTGGCCGAGCACAGGGTGGGGCAGGAAGCGGGCTTTTTGCGCCTCTCAGGGGATCCCTGAGTCGGTGGAGCCAGATGTCCGGGGCCGCCCTGGGAGGGGGTCCTGCTTCAGCAGCTCCGTGCTGGCAGCAAGGGCCCTGTACCTCCCCTTTCTCTCCTCCACTTTCGGTCACGTCAGTGTCACCCCAGACCCAGGGCCTTAGGGGGTCACGGCCGGCTCCTGGCTGCCAAGAACGTGGGGCGGCAGACCTGTCTCCCCGTCCACGGTGGGGGTGGGGGAGGGGCGCACCTCCTGATGATCCTGGAGCCCCCCAGGCCCCGCGCTGGGGCCCTGCACACCACTGGGCCCGGTGGGGCCAGCACCTGTCGCACCTGTCGCTGAGGCTGGGAGGCGCCAGCGATGGTCTGGTCGCAGACCAGAGCTGGCACTCCCAGGGGGGTGGGTCAGCAAGGGGAGGGGGAGGCGTTTTGGGGCTGCAACCTCTGGGCTGGCATTTACCCAAAGGAGGCGAAAGCTGTGTCCACACAAAGACCTGCCCGCGGATGTTTCTCGCAGCTTTGTTCACAAGCGTCAAAGCGTGAAGCAACCGAGACGCCCTTCAGCGGGTGACGGATGAACATAAGCTGCGGTCCATTTAGCAATGGAAGATGACTTGGTGCTAAAAAGGAATGAGCTCTCAGCCAGGTGACTTGGAGGAACCTTTTTATTGTTTTTAGATTTTATTTGTTTATTTTTAGAGAGAGAGGAAGGGAGGGAGAAAGAGAGGGAGAGATACACCATTTAGCTGCCTCCTGCAAGCCCCTGGCTGGGGACCTGGCCCGCAACCGAGGCCTGTGCCCTGACTGGGAATCGAACCAGGGACCTTCCAACTTGCAGGCCAGCGCCCACCCCACTGAGCCACAGCAGCTGGGGCACACAGGGCATTTTTAGGACAGTAAAATGCTCTGTGTTGTGACACTATGACAATGAACACATGCTCTTATTCCTCTGTCCAAACCCACGGAACACGCTCCCCCGGGACAAGCCCAATGAGAACCGCGGGCTCTGGGGCTTACGGCGCGGCCGCGCGGGCTCCTCCTGGTGAGGGAGGTCGGGGCTGGCAGGGATGTCGGCTGTGGCAGAGGTTCTGGGGAGGGTGGAACACAGGAAACGTCTGTACCTTAACTTCGCAGGGAACTGAAAATTGCTCTGAAAAAAAAGAAAAGTCTTTTAAAAAAAGCTGAGGACCCAGAAAAAGAGGGGTGCTGGCCTGGCACCGGGGGCTGGGCCGGGGCGGCTCTGGGCTGAGCACTGCCCAGCGGAGCACGAAGTCCCCACAGAGGGCCAGCCCACCCGCCGGCTCTGACGCCCTGGACCTGCAGACACACGTGCCCCCCTCCAGCGGCCTCCGTGCACCCTCACTGCGCCCCATGTGACCCCCAGCCCGGGACCTGTGTTTTCTGCCCGCAGGCCTGCTGGCCTGGCTGTGGTCGCCTGAGGCTGCGTTCTCTCCTGCCCCTTCACGTTCCCCTGGGGCCGGCCCCAGGGGCCAGCGAGCACACGGAGCCGGAGCCAACAAGGGCAGGTGGCCCTGGGCAGCTCCAGCCTGCGTGGAGAGATGGGCCCTCGGGAGCCTTGCCCGGCTCAGCGTGGGGACCCGAAAGCTGAGGGTCGGGGCACAAGGCTGGGGAGGGGCCGGCACCGGGGCCACGCTGCGGGAGGAGCAGAACGGGGCCTGGGGTGTCAGCCGCAGGGCCCAGGGTGCGTGGGCGCCGGAGGCGGAGCCTGGTCCTTGCCAGCACCAGCCGCTGCGCTGGGACTGGCTAGGGGCTGTCCGGTGGCCGGCTCAAGGTAACTCGCCAGTGCTGCGAGTTACACAACTGAAGGAGTCCCCGGGGAAGGAAGGGCCCCCGGGGACAGCCCCAGCGTCCTGCCAGCCTTGGAGAAGGGGCCTGGCGGGCAGCCAGGAGGCTCCAGCGGGCGGCGTCCAGAGCACGACCTCCGACCGCAGAACCTTTCCCCCGTTTCCACCCAGAGTGCGGCCTGGACGCTCTCCTGTGGCTCAGGACATGAGCTCTTTCCTTCCTCTCCCTGGCTGCGTAGGATTCTGCAGGCTGTTTTTTTAACATCAGTTGAGGGAGACTGATGTCTACTGTGAGAAAGGACATGCAAGGTACATCGTTGCTGAGCAGAAAGAAGCTGGTGGCCTGGGACAACCAGCCAGCAGCCTCCCCAGCCCCCTTCGGCAGGGGCTGGGGGCAGGGTCTGTGGGGGGGGGGGGTCCAGAGCACAGGCCGCCGTCCGGGTGGGTGTTCTGGCCTCCGTTCCCACGCGGAAAGCCCAGGCTTGGCGGTAGGGGGGAGGCGGCACCAGGGGATGAGAGGTCAGCCCCTGGCTCGGGAGATGCCACCGCAAGGAAGGGGATGGGGACAGAGTCTGGGTAGGAAATGAAGGAAAGAGGAGGCTTTTCAACAGTTTGCTTTTATTTTTCTGCTGTACGACACGCAATTGCATTGACACCCAGAAAGGGAGGCCCCGCCGGCAAAGGGAAGCTGGCTCACTCGGGGTCCGCCCTCGGGGCCTGAAACAGGGGCAGAAGGGGCGCCTGCGCACCCACGCTGCCAGCAGCCAAAAGGAGGAAGCGGGCTTGGTGCCCAGGGGACGGAGGGAGGGCTAGATGGGTGCGGCCGGCCGTGCCCTGGAATGGGGTCGTTCCCCCGTAAGCAGGAGGGAACAGGAGGGAGGTTCCGACACTGCTACGGCAGGGATGGGCCTGGAAGCCTCGATGCTGCGTGAAATAAGCCAGTTCCCCAGGGAGGAGCCTCCGGTGCCCCTGTGCGGCCCCCAGAGCAGCCAGGCGCGAGGGAGAAGGGGCCACGGGCCACGGGCTGGGAGCCCGGTTGAGCGGGGCGGAGCCGTGTGCGCAGGGGCGCCAGGGCCTGCGCGGGCGGCGCGGTGGCTGTGCTTGGTGCTCCTGCCCTGGGCACGTGAAATCGGTTATGACGGCAGGTGTTTTACTATGTATCTTTCACAACAGTGTTTTTAAATTGGAAACAAAATTAAAAAGAACTGGGGGGCAGACGCAGGGGGCCGCCCAGGCCCCCCTCTAGTCCCCCCGTGGGTTGGGCGGGAGGAGGAAGGCAGGCTCAGCTGGACAGCTCGGCCCCCAGGGAGCGCCCTGGGCAGGGGACCCCGAGGTCAGGGAGGGAAGGAGAGGGTGTGGGTGGGTGGCCTTGGGAAGGCCGGCTCGTGGGTAAGAGCGAGGGGCGGGGCCGGATGTGTGCTGTGTGTTTATCTACTATACTCTTACAGAGGCCGTGGAATGTCAGCGAGCCAACTCGGGGTGGAAGGGGCCTGGTCTGCAACCTGCAGCTGTGGTGACCCTGAGCTCCTGAGGCTGTGGGCCCTGGGCCCGGGTCCAGACACGGGGCAGGGGGCCGTCAGGGGTCGTGCTGCAGGGCAGGGCTGGGCCCCGGAGGCCCCCAACCCAGGCGGCACCCACGGCCAGCCACAGTGACTTCCCTCCCCCGGGTCCCTCAGGTCCAGGAGGGAAGCTGGCCAATTGTTTGAGGCTGCGGCTGGGGGGCAGGGCCCAGGGGCCTGCAGGAAGCCCCCCGGCAGCTGGCGCTCTTTGCCACACTCCCCACAGGCTCGCACCGCGGCAGGATGAAGGCGCTTGCGGCGGCCCTGCTTGTCCTGCTGCTGTCCAGGCAGCCAGGTACGAGGGGGCGAGGGGTGACCCTGGGGTCAGGGGAGGGCAGCAGGGCCCAGGCCCCCAGGGACCCCAGCCTGAGGACAAGACGGCTGGGGAAGAGAGAGAGGGTGAGGCTGGAGCCTGAGCCCGGGGGAGAGGGCCGGCCCCTGGCTCCCACAGCCGCCCCCGCCAGCCCCGGGGCTCCCCTCCCCTCAGCCCAGGGCTCAGCCCCTCTGAAATGCAAGCTTGGGGGCCCCTCTCCTCTCCCAGCCTCCGTTTCACTTTCTGCACAAGGGGCAGACCAGCCTGGGGGCTGGGGGTGGGGCTGCCATAAAGGGGCCGCGGCCCTGCCTCTGGCCGTGTGAGGACTGTGCCCGGCCGCACGCTGGGCAAGCAGAGACCGAGAGACCCGGCGGCCCGGGAGATGGGCGGGGGGGGGGGGGCGCTGGGCCGAGGGCATGTCCTCTGCACCTGAGCAGCAGAGCCTTACGGGCCTCCCTGTGTGGCCTGGGACAGGACAGGCACAGAACAAGGACATGGAGGAGGACGAGGAGGACGAGGAGCAGGGGGACGAGGACGAGGACGAGGACGAGGACGAGGAGGACAAGGAGGCCGGCTCGGTGGCAGGCGGCAGGGGCAAAGGTACCCGCGCCCCCGTCCCCCCAGGGCACACCGCTCTCTTCCAGCACGTCCGGCGGGCGCCGCAGCCCCAGCCGGGCGGGGGACCTGCGTGACGCGCAGGGATGGGCTGCCCTCCGGCGCGGCAGGGGCGGGTGAGGCGGGCCCTGACACCCCGCGCTCAGCACACCCCTCGCCGCTCGCCCTGACCGCAACCTTCAACTGCGTAAGGGGGGCGACGGTGCTGGGGCAGAGATGGCCCAAGGGGGCCCGAGTGGAGCGGCCAGCGGGGCCTGGGTGTTGGTTCTGCCCAGAAAGACAAGAGCGGTCTGGCCCCGGTGGGGCAAGGCGGTGGGGGGGACCCCCTGGGGGCAGGGGCTTGGACGGGCTCCTGCAGGGGACCGGGAGCGGACAAAGGCTTAGGACAGAGCGCCGCGGGAGAGGCGAGCCCGTCCCCACTCCTCACCCTGACACGCCGCCCCAGACGGTGGGGGCCGCCCCTCCTCTGTCCCACCCGCAAAGACAAAGCGGAGCTATTGTTACCATTGACCCGCGTGGCCTGCGGCTCCCAGCTCACCCCGCCCCCACCCCCGCATGCCATCCCTGCACCCACCACCCCACCTGCACCCTTGCCACGGCTCTCGCACCCCAGGCCGTGGCCCGTGGGGCTCTGCTGGCCAGTCCCCGGGAGGGGCCGCGTTCTGGGGGTGGCAGCTGCGGTAGGCAGGTGGGCGGGTGGGCAGTGGAGGCCTGGAGGGGAAGGGGTGGGACCGGGGAGCTGGGGGCTCCGGGGCCATGGCCGCAGCCTGAGCCCACCTGTCCCCAGGACTGCAGTGCTACACCTGCCTTACCCTGAGCCAGGAGGGTCATTGCAACCAGACGCGCAGCTGCAACCCCACTGAGCCCTTCTGCAAGATCATCACCTACGAGTGGGACTTTGGTGAGTGGCACGTGGGCGCCTACAAGGCACACAGCCCTCGAGGGGCCTCGTCCCTGTCCAGACGCCCAGTGTGACTCGCTTTCTCCCCCCCATTCCCCAGGATCAGGTATTCCGGCCACTTACTCGCTATGGTGTGCTGACTCCTGCACACCCGTCACCAAGACGGCGGACGGGACCCTGATAACCACGACCTGCTGCCAGACCAATCTGTGCAACATCCCACCCTGGCAGGGCCAGCCGGGCCGTGGGGCAGGGGGCCCCCAGGGCAGCCCTGGAACTGTGGCCGCCACCTTCCTGCTCAGCCTCCTCCCTGGCCTCAGGGCCATGGGGCCTTGAAGGCAGCGGCTCCTCCATCAGCCCGGGTGGGCCAGCTGCTCGCCTTCCCCCGCCCCACCAGCTTAGGAGAATAAACTCGGAGAGCCCGCACTGGCTCCTCCCAACCCCTCTGTGTGTCCTCAGTTTCCCGGCCTGGCCCTCTGGCCCTCCTCTGCCACTGCTCGCACGCGGTAGGTTCCCGGCATGTGGGCCTCAGGTCCAGGCCTCAGCCGCTCACTCTCCACCTGGGGGAGCCCCGCCCTCTTCTCTCCCCAGTGTCCTGCCTCCATCCGCCCCTCTGCATCCCAGCCCCTCACTGCGGGGGGCTGGGGAGGGGCGCTGCGGAGGTTGGGGTGGCCATGAGGTGGCCTTAAGGAAGGGGAGCGGAGAGAAGAGGAGGAAAGGGGGAGCCAGGAGAGTGGGCTGGGGTGGGAATTTCCAGCCAGCCCCTCAGCCTGGTGGGTGTAGTTTGAGGGGGGTGAGGGTGGGGGGTGGGGGAGAGAGTGCAAGGAGGGGCCCAGAACAGGCCTGGGGGTCCCTGAGGAGAGCAGGCAGTGGGAGGGGGAGAGCAGGAGAGCCAGGCCCTCCCTGGGCCAGAGGGCGGCTGGGCCCCTGGGGGTTCCCCGGCATCTGCTCGGGCCGGGCCGGGCCGGGCTGCGTGCTGGCCGCGGGGCGCTGGGCCTTCTTGACCGGACCAAACTCCACCTCCGCCAGGAGCTGCTGCCAGGATGGAGCCTTGAGGTGGCGGAGGGAGGAGGCCTGACCTTGGCCTCAGTCTCCCCATCAGAGGTCAGAGCCGTTACAGAACGAGGCTTAGAGGACCCCTAGGCCCCCACCAGCTCGAGGCCCCGGGAAGTCCAGAGTCCTCTTCTGCCTGTTGTCTGCCCAGCAGGCAGCGTGGCGCCCCCAACTCTCTGTTCTCCCCTCCCCTTCCTTATTCATAGAAACCTCAAGTCCAGCTGGAGGTGGGGGCAAATCCCTTAGGAGAGGGGGGCGTGCCTCCTTCCCCTTCACCCCTTCTGCTGGCTGGAATGATGGCTGGGGCTCAGCAGCCGCCTTGTTCCCTGAGGTAGCACTGAGAACGGCAGGCAGCGTGGCGAAGGCGCCCGGGTCGTGGGTGGCCCGGAGCCAGCAGGCGAGCCCTGCGCTGCCCGACCCAGGACCCCGACCCCGGGGGAGGCGGGGAATTCCTGCCATGCCACAGCTGGTTATTTAGGTTTCTCCATCACTTGCGTTGTCACACGCTCTCCCAAGCAGCCCCTGGTAAGGCCTCTACCCCACAGCGCGGGGACTGCTGAGGCTTCTCAGCCTTCCTCTGTGAGACCTGGGGACCCCAATACAATAAAGGGGAAGGCAAGGCGCCGGTGGCCAGGCCTCGAGTCTGAATCAGCCATTTACCCGCTGTGTGACCTCAGCAAGCCGGCGAGCCTGTCTGTGCTCAGGCCCCTGCCCTGGGCCTGGGGCGGGGGGGCCTGCTCTGCCCCAGGCGGGGGCTCAGGCTCTTGAGCTCTCACCTCCAGCGGTGTCCTTTCCTCCATCTGTCCCTCTTCCCAGCATTACGTCAGCCCTCTGGCCCTTCTCCCTTCAATGACCCCCACCCCACCCACGGGCCCCTAGTGAGGAAGAAACAAATGAGCCCTTTAGGCTGAAGGGCCCCTTCCCAAGTTGTCTCACTCCCGGGGCCTGAAACCAGCCCCTGGGGCCACATTAGGGCCCGGTGTCCCCCACTCCTTGGCACCAGGAGGAAGCTCAGTGTGGACACTCTGTTCTCTCCTTTTCTGGGCCCACGTGACCTGCTAGCTGGAGCCTGTGGCCTCCGGGGCCCGGCCGCCTGGGAACAGACCTTCCTGAAGCTCCCCTCCCATGCAGCCTGCGGCCTCCTCAGTGACGCTGGGCCCCCGCCCTCCTCCCCCTACTCCCAGATCCATTTTGTCCCGTGCGCCTAAGTGCCCCGCCTTGGGTCACCTGCCCTTCTTCGCTCCCCCACCTCGTCCAGTCTTGGTTCCTGGGGAGTTCCTTCTGCCAGCACAGGAAGCAGATGACCACAGTCTCATTTCCTTGCCTTGTTCTCGACCTTGAGAAGGGGGTGAGGATAAGGCAAGGACCCAAAAGAGGATATTCCTGAGGATGGAGGTTCCGAGCAGTGCTTCACCGACCCCCCCCCCGCCCCCGCCCCGCAAGCTGCCGCTCCCCGGGGCGGCCTGATGGCCCGCGATAGGCCTGCGTCCCCAGGTCCTGCCAGGAGCTCGCCGAGCAGAGGGGAGACCGCGCGCGTCGCAGGGCAGGACCCGGGCTCGCCGAGCGGTCCCGCCGGGGCGCGCGCTCCACGCTGCGGGCGCTGTCCAGCACGCAGGCGGCTTCGTCAGAGGGGCCGCGAGCGGGAGGCTTGAGGCTGTGTCCAGGGGCTCCGAACGGGGCTGCCCGTGGACCAGGGCTGGGTCTCGCGGCCTCGGAGGATCGGGGCGGGGGCGCCATGCATGGAGTAGCGTGGGGAAGGTGCGCTCGTGGTTCCCGTTACTCACGCCATCATTCCCGCCGGAGAGAAACCCGAAGTGAGCCGGGCGCCGGGGACAGCGAGGGGCACGTGAGAGCAGGGGGCGTGGGCCCTGGCTGGTGAGGCGCGGCTTCCGAACCCACGGTCCCAGGTGGATGCGCCATGGGCGCACGTGCCTGGGTCGCCGGTTCGCCCCCTCTTGGGGGCGCGCGAGAAGCAACTGATCAATGTTTCCATCTCTTTCTCCCTCCCATCCCCACTCTGTAAAAATAAATAAATAAAATGTAAAATATATATATTTATTGAAAAAAGAAGCGTGAAGGGGGACCGCAAAGGTGAAGGACGGGCATCAGCGGTACGTGAGGGGCCTGCGGGAGCCGAAGGGAGTGGGCGGAGCCGGCTGGGGGCGCAGCCCTGCGCCGCGCCCCACCGAGAGGCCAGGAGGCCCGCCTCCTAGAGCGGCCCCGGAAGGGGCGTGGCCCGCGGCCCGCGGTTCCGGCGGGCGCAGTGGCTTTGCTCCTCGGCCGGGCAGCTGGTGCGCGGCTGGGCTCGGCGAGGCTGGCGCCCATTCCCCGCCCCGCCTTCGGCGACGGACTCTCTGTGTCACTCCGGCGTGGCGTGGGCCCCGGACCAGGGAGACGGCCTTCCCGCCTAGGCTCCAGGCGCCGCGGACGAAAGACCAGCTCCGCGCGGATCGAGGTGAAGGCGTCGCCCCGGGCTCCGCGAGTGCGGCCGGCGAGGCTTCGTCGTGGGCGGGGCGCTGCCCAGCTCTGGGCCCCTCGCGTTGGCCTCAGCAGACCAGGGCCCAACAGACTGGGTGCATGTGTGTCCCTGGATCTCAGACCCACTGGTGATACGGTTTCTCCCTGGGGCCCAGGCTCCCGCAGGCAGCGGGGAGGGGATCTGGGTGAGGGAGATTTTCGGAGAGCCCAGAGCTGCGTGGTTCAGACCGCAGAAGGGCGATACCCCAGGTGCGCGGCCGGTAGCAGCACGCAGCCTTTGGGCCCGTGCTCGCCGGCGTCTGCTCTGGTAACGTGGACTGAGTTGTCTGTGTCGCCGTAGCAGTCACTCGTGTCTACAGACCTGCGACACGAGGGGACGGGGTCGGTGACCTCTGTCCACTCCGTGTTTAACCATGATGTTATTCCGGGGTGTGCACAGCAGAGAGAAGCGAGTGAATCCGTCCTGTGCCCTGAAGGACCTAACAATGCCGCGGGGGCGGTGCTTCCGCGGGCTCCGGGCCAGACCCGGTCGGAGGGACCGACAAGGTCTTGTTTGCACTTGTGAGGTTGGGATGCTTTTGGGTGGAATCAGGCAGCGGGTCGCTCAGATTTTAAGACAGAGCAAAGAAGAACCTGGGCGGCTACCTGGGGCTTTGGCCCTCCGTGGATGAGGTCGCTCCGGGCAAGTGCTACAAGGAAAACTAGGGCCGCGAGTGGGGCAGCGACACCTCTCTGAGAAGGGCCTCCCAGCCGAGCTCTGCGTGAGCAAGGGGCCAGCCCCACCTAGACCTGCTCTCGGGGCCTGTTTTCCGGAAGCAGCCAGGCACTGCGACAGAAAGGACTGGACCTTTTTGGGGACCTAAAGAGGGCTGGGTGGCTGGAGGGGAGTGAAGGCTTGGCCACGTGGTAGGCCAGGGCCAGAGGAGCAGGAGCATGTAGGGCCTGTGAGTGTGAGGCGGCCACTGGGGATGGAGCAGGGGCGTGAGGGGGCTCACCGGCCGCTGCGTGGGATGGGCCACGAGGGGCCCCGGGCCAGGCTGGGAGCTGGGCAGCCGCCAGGGGGCCAGCCCCAATTTCATGCACCTTAGGATCCAGGCCCAAGGTGATGGGTGGCACCTTCCACGAGGGGCACAGGAGGCTCCAAAAACATGTTGTGTGGAAGTGGAGAAAGATTAACAAACTCCAGTTTGGGGACCACAAAGTAGAGGCTGGGCCATGGCACACGTCAGCCCTCCTGGACACAGGTGTGGAGGCCTTATCCCCTGGCAGAGGAAGAAAGTTCAGTGGCTGGTAACTTGAGTGCACGCGGACGCCGTTTATGGAGATGGGGAACTGGCCAGAGAGAGTGGGGCGGGGCTCTCAGGAGCCAAGTGTTCTGTTAGGTCCGAGATGCTCAGCAGATGCCAGGTGGCAGGACCTGAGTAGGGGAGGGAGGGGCCATGGCCCCCTGGGCCCCGCCCCCATCCCCACCCCTCCCCCACCGCCCCCACTGTCCCTCAGTCCCTGTCTCTTTGGGAAAGAGCTCAGTGTGTCTTCCCAGAGGCCCACCTAACGCTCGGGGTCTTGCTTCTCTGGCCACTGCAGGACTGGCGCCACTCTGCCTTCTGCTGCTGATTTTCTCTTCGGGCTTTAACGGGAAGCTCAGAAAAGCGAAGAGCTGTGTCTACGGCAAGACCTTGCTGAAGACGTGGTTGCAAAGAAAGGAACTTGTGAGGCTGGGGGACGGCGCCCAGGCTTCCTGTGGCCCTGCCTCCCCGCGGACGGAAAGATGGAAAAACCCACAGGCAAGAAGACAACCCAGGGCCCAAAGGAGGACGCGGCTGCGCAGAGGGACTCTGCCAAGGACCAGAAGGCGTCCGGGGGCAGAGGGCCTGGCAGGAGAGCCGCTCCGGCAAAAAAGCACCGCAGGGAGCCCAGCCTGAGTCCCGAAGACGAAGCCCACATATTCGATGCCTTCGACGCTTCCTTCAAAGATGACTTTGAGGGGGTCCCCGTATTCATTCCTTTTCAGAGAAAGAAGCCCCACGAGTGCGGCGAGTGCGGGCGCATCTTCAAGCACAAGACAGACCACAGTCGCCACCAGAGAGTTCACACTGGCGAGAAGCCCTTCCAGTGCGCCCAGTGCGGCAAGGCGTTCCGGCACAGCTCCGACGTCACCAAGCACCGGAGAACCCACACGGGAGAGAAGCCCTTTATGTGTGGGGAGTGCGGAAAAGCGTTCAACTGCGGCTCGAATCTCCTGAAACATCGGAAAACCCACACTGGAGAGAAGCCCTATGAATGCAAGGAGTGTGGGAAAACCTTTGCTTACAGCTCGTGCCTCATTCGGCATCGGAAGCGGCACCCCCGGAAGAAGCACTGAGCGCAGGGAAGCGCTGCCGCCTCTGCTGGGCACCCACGAGGCTGCAGCCCTCGTGCCTGTCCCTTCGAAGACGTTGGTCTGCAGCCTCTGGGCCCACGGGGTCCCCAGCCCGTCCCCGTGCAGGCTGGCCGGAGGGCCGTGGCCCCGAGCCGGACAGCAAGCTGTCTTCTAGGAGGACGCGGATGCTGCCTGGGCAGGACCAGAGCCCCCTTGTCCCCACTCGGCTCGCTGCAGTGCCGTCCTCTCGGGCTGCAGTGCCAGCCCTTGGATTCCAGCCCCACCCCGCGGAGCTGGATGCCCTGTGCGTCCTCCCGGCCCAGCCTCCATCCCAGAGACGCGGCCCAACTCACACAGATGACCACCTGGGACACGGCGCCTCAGGCCTGACAGCTGCCCCGCGGGAGCGTCCCCCCCCCCCCGGTGGCCATGGGCTGGGGTCCCCGCATGCTGGCGGCAGCTTCCTCCCAGCCTGTGCCTGCCGCCCGGAGCCTCCGCACACCCCGCCATGTGCCCTGCCCCCCGGGCCTGGCTCTCCGTGCTGGTGAGTCCCACCTCCCTGTGGCTGCCCTGGGTCCATCCTGCCCTGGGTCAGGTCCGCTTGCAGGGCCTGCCTCGGTTTCCCTCAGGAGCGGTCTGCGCGGGGCTCTGTGCTCCGCGGGGCTGTGCCATTTGTCCCAGAATCTCTAGACAGCAGGAGGGGGCGCGGTGACTGTCAACCAAGAGATGATACGGCTTTCTATTAGGAAAATGACGATACCTGCATTTCCACCCTTTTGAACCCAAAACACTAATAACGGCCTACGCCTCTGGGGACTGTCTCGTAAGGAGGCCGAGCTCAGGGGAGGACAGGCCCCTCCAGCAGGCAGCCCCCGACGCCGGGAGGGGCTCCCGGTGGGTGGTCCTACCCCCACTCCCCCCAGAAGCTGCGACGTTGTGACACCAGCCTGAGAGGGCCCCGGCGGCCGCCCGGTGTGCCAAGGAGTGGACGGCCGCCCAGCGTCCCCCGCACCGTGACGAGCTCTGGCCGTTGGGAAGTGAGACCCGATGAGGCAAAATGGTTCCGAGGCAGGTGCCAGCCACCGGCTGCGGGGGCACTCAGACATGTGACCCCGCGGTAGAAGGATGTTCCTGGGACGCTGGGCAGATCTAAGGTCCCGACTGTCCACTCGGTGGCAGGGCTGTGCCCGTGACAATGCCGCCCCGTTTGACTGAGGCCTGTGGCCGACACAGACCACAGCCCAAGGCACAGCAGAGACAGCAGGGTCCGCCGTCCATCCCCGGGCGTCCCGCGGGGACACAGTGATGACAGCACATGCGTGTGCACTGAGAGTGGCCAAGCAAACTGGCGAGTGTCGGCCGTCCCTGGGCCCAGGGTGAGGGTCGGCAGACGTTCTCTGTGACGGGCCGGACCACGCCTGTTCTCGGCTCTGCGGCCACAAGGCCTCTGCCGTTGCCCAGCTCTGCTGTGACCTGCGACAGCGGTCACCACGGTACAGCGGCGGGTGAGGCAGTCTTGTGCCAGTGATGTCTTCTCTTTTTTTAAGGTTTTTAAAAAATTATTTATTGGTTGATTTTGAGAGAGAGGGAAAGGGAGGGAGAAAGAGAGGGAGAGAAACATGCATGTGTGGCAGCCTCTCACACATCCCCCACTGGGGACCTGGCCCACAACCCAGGCCTGCGCCCTGACAGGGAATCGAACCGGTGACCTGTTGGTTTGTAGGTCGATGCTCAATCCGCTGAGCCGCACTGGCCAGGGCTACGATGCACTTGGAAATGTCTTTACAAATATTGTTTACAGTAATCAGAGGAGTCACACATTTCAAACTAAACAGCGGTCTTTTGAGCCTCCTGTTGTCTGGAGCAGACAGCTGGGCTCCTTTCCCATTGCTCCTGAGTCGGCCGTGGTGAGGGCGCAGGCCGGCGGCCGGGGCCCAAGTTCTGCTCCCGCGGGAGTGCCAAGGCCAGAGCTTCCGCATTCGTCTCTGCTTTCTCATTTTCTGCTGTTCCAGTAAAACTCACTCACATTCCAGGAAAAAGAAAGTCTTGTAAATAACCCGACTCAAAAAATACTGAAAGTGCCCAGGCTAGTGGGGCTCCGTGGACTGAGCGCCAGCCTAGAAGGGTCGCGGGTTCGATTCCCAGTCGGGGCACAGGCCTGGGTTGCAGGCCAGGTCCCCAGTAGGGGGCACATGAGAGGCAACCACACAAGGATGTTTCCCTCTCTTCTTCCCTTCCCCACTCTCTAAAAATAATTTTTTTAAATATCTTTTAAAACCCTGAAAGTTATAAAGTATGTGCTTCAGTGGTAGCAAAAATGCCACTCGCCAGAGCAAGTCCCAGACGGGCAGCTGTCGGCATCCGGCTCCTGCAGCGGTCGGTGGGAGGGCCGGTGTTGGGGGAAAGCAACAGGGTAGACTCGGAGCAGGGGAGGGGGAAACTGAACAGCCATCTGTCCCAGGGGTGGGGGCCACCAAGGGTTAGAAACGGACAGGCTGGGACTTTGAAAGGACTGCGAGTGGTGCAGGGACAGTGTGTCACAGGAGGCACCGGCCCGATTTTAACGGTTTCAGGTGCAAAATGGGGCGAAACTAAGTAATGCGGTGAGTGGGGCACGCAGTAAAGCCAGAGGAAAACCTCACTGAACTCAGAGGACATTCCCTCAGCCGGCAGGCCCGCCCCAGCGGCGTGTCGGGGTGTCCACCCCCCCCCCCCCCCGTTAATTCCATCGTACGCACCCTGAGTTTGCGTGTTTGGTCTGTTTCCCAACTTAAACTCAGAAAGAAATAAGCACTTTCCTGGGGACCCTCTTGCCACCCAGGTGTGGGTTCTGCGGCTTTAGCCGCACATTCCCCCCCGATCATCAAACAGCTCCTTCACTCCCCTAGTCGGCTTTTTCCCAGCAAAGGAAGCAGACAATAATTGCACTTCTTTATTCAAGGGGCATTTCTCATCCTTTCAGGTTGTGAGAGCCGCCCATCCCCGAAGCGAGACGTTCCCAGTGGGAGATGCATGAAGAGAAGCCTCAGCGCCAACAAGGAAACTCCCACGTCACTGAGCTCCAAGGAGGAACGGAGGTCAAGAAGGATGAGAGGAAAGGAAGGCTCAATCCAGCCTCCCAGGCCGAGGGACAGGTGGGGCCCAGGCGTGGAGGGGGCTGTCCCTGCGGGAAGCCCACACTCCGGGGACACGTCCGCAGACGTGAGCGGGGCAGTGTTCCGTCTGGGAGCCCGTGAAGGCAGGGGCGCGGGGAGGCAGCCGTACCTGCAGGACTCTCCCGGGCCCCCAGACCGTCCGATGGACAGGCACACGCTGTGTTCTCGCCCCACCCAGCAGGCTTCTCCGCGCTCCGTCCACGGGCGGGCGTCCCCGGCCCAGTGCCTGCTCAGGACCCCGAATCTCGGCACCTCCTGCTGTCGCAGGAAGATGGCCCACAGTGACCCCAGACCTGCCTCAAGGTGGCTCGGTCACCACCCGCTCTGCCAAAGTCGCACACGGGCGCAGGGATGGCTCCGGGGGGCCTGGCGTCTGGGTGCGGGCCACCAAGGACCTTGAACAGACCTGCGGACAGCCGCAATGTCCTAGGAACTTGACGGGGACCGTGCTGCCTGCTGACATTCTGTGAGCCATGCCCGCACCCGCCCCTCCGGGCCTCACCCTGCTGCACCTGAGGGTGGGCGGCGGGGTGGGGGGGTGGCCGGTGCTGCCGGACAGCGGGCAGTGCGGGCCCCGGAGCAGGCGGGGCTCTGGTCCTCTGCCCGCGGTCGGGGGCTCCTCAGCTCCCCTGTTCTTGCACCAGGGTCCACTGCGTTCCAGTGGGCATTATTTCTAGTGACCTCTCGTGTGTGATCCAGTTTGGGCACCAAAATATGATCACTTGTTACCTCTGCAAGTGAGCAAGACTCCACCACGCGCTGCGGAGGAGACGGGACTCGGGGTGGGGCCTGCAGCCTCAGCTCCCAGGAGGCATTCACGGCCCGCAGGCGCCTGGACGCGCGCTCTGGAGCAGGACAGCAGGGTAAAGGGGTGTGTCTGAGGTCTAGGGAAGCGGTGCTGGGACCAGAGAAGGAGCAGGCTGGTGGCCAAGGTGGCCTCCGGGTCCGCTGCCCGAGGACCCCTGTGCCCCGAGCTTGGAGGCCTTGCCACCTGCTGTGTGAGCTGCAGGGGGTCCTCCTTTTGACCAGGGTCCTGCCGGGACTTTGGGTTCTGCAGGACGCTGCCCCCGGAAGTCACCTGCAGAGCCCACAGACAGGTTTCTGAGGCCTGAAGTCACCGTCCCCTTGGGGCGCGCGCTGAAGTGCCTCAGCTTCCATGCGCACCTTGGTCTTGGCCCAGGGGGTGCCCAGCGTGGGTTACGTGCACCACTCCACACTTGCCCTGTCACACCCCATGGGGCCCGGACCACTGTCCCCTCACCCACATGGCATTCGGATTCTGTTTTTAGAGTCTGGCTCGTGGTGTGAGAGTGCCTGTCCCTGGGGAGCCTGAGCGCTCCGTGCGGTGGCCTTCTCACGTCCCCCTGGGGCACGCGTCCCTGCCCGCACACCTGGGGCTCGAGGTGGCCGTGGCCGCAGATGCTCTCGCGTGGAGTGGGTGGCCTTGGGCCTGAGGGTGCAGGCTCTCGCTGGTCTGCTGTCTACCACGGTCATTTTTATTGTCCGTAAATTGAACTCTCCAACGAGTCAAAGCCATTGAACTTTTACTTGGTGATCCCTTCCCCGCTTCAGTCCTTAGTGAGTGTGTCCTGCTTCCGACAGCCTCCTGTGGCCCAGCGGCCCCGTGGTCTCCCCATCCAGGCACTGCGGCGTGGGCTCCTGCAATGCCCCCGGCCCCTGCCTCCCACACATCACAGGCCCAGTGTCCTGCTGCCTCCTGCAATAAACGTCTATCCTGACCCCTTCACTGTGCTCTGTGGATCTCTCTGCATCTCTGCAGCCCCGGGGTGCAACCGGGATTCCCCAGGGTGGAGCAGCTGGTCACTGCTGTTCATGGGCCTCTTCGGGGGCAGCCTCATAGTAACCAAACTCTCGAGAGGACATGTAAATTAGAGTTTGCTAACAGGATGGGAGTGACCCGCTGCAGTAACAAGATACGATGCATACCCCCCTGCAGACACCACTCATCTGCGAAACGACGTCTGGTTTGCCGGGTGCTTGGTGCCTGGAGGCGCTACCCGGGGGGCGCGGGTCTGGGAGGCTCGGGCTCCCAGAAGGGTTCGCGGAAAATGTCTGGGGCATTTTTGTTTGTCACAACTGAGGGGAGATGCCGTCAGCACCTGGAGGGTGGGGAGAGGGACGCTGCTGGGAGCCCCACGGGGCCGGGGCCGGGGCCGGGGCCGGGCGCGGGGCGGGGATCCGAAGAGGCCCGGAGGTCAGGGGCTGTCGGCCAGGTCTCAGCCGCTGGAAGCCCGAAGAGGCGGCTTTCGGCAGGAGCGCGGTCACGTGCTTGGCGAGGTGCCCGTGCAGGCGGCGAGCCCTGCAGGGCCGGGGACCGGGCGCAGGCGGGGAGCGGCTGGAGCCCCGGATCCGCTCTCACCTCGCCCTAACCAGCGCGGGGGGCGGGGCGGGGGTAGGTCAAGCCGTCGCGCTGCGGTCTAGCATATGCTCGCGTCGCAAGCCTCGGGCCGCCGAGGCCGCAGTCCTCCGGGCGCCCAGAGCGGCCGGAAGTGCGCTCGGCTGGGGCGGAGCGCGGGCTCACTTCCGGCCGGCGCGAGCGCGGGCGCGGCGGCCACCTCAGGCTCGGAAGGTGAGTGGGCGCCGGCGGGGGCGGCGGAGGCACGGGCGTTCGCGCTCGCGTTTGGTCACCGCAAACCCGGCCTCGGTGCCGCTGCCGCGTGACCTTGACCGCGGCTTCGGGGGTGCGGGCGGTCGCCCCAGCGTGCAGAGGAGGCCTCCGCCGGGGGGCGGGCGCACTGGCCCCGGCGGTCGCCGCGTCCGTTTGCGGGTCGCCTCGCCTTCCCACGCATCCTGAGCCCGAGGGACGGGGACTGTCATGCCCACTTCGCCAACGGTGAACTGAGGCTTGGCGAAGGCGCGCGTCCCAGGGCCTCGGCCAGCGAGTGCGAGCGCCTGAGCCCCTGAGGTCGGGCTTTCCCACTGGGCACCGGCTCCGCCTGCGACGAGGCGAGCGAAGGCAGCGGCGCTGGCGCGGGACCGCCTCCTCCGCTCCGGCAGCCGGGGCGGGCGGGACGGCCTCTCCCACAGGAGCCCGGGAGGTTCGCCCCGGACCTTCGGCGCGACTCAGCGGGCTGCGGTCCCGCCCGGGGTCCGCTCACCCGGCCGCCGTTCGCGGAAAGGCCCCGAGGCTGACCCGGGAGGTCGGGCTCCGTAGACCTGTCCCTCCCGCGTGCCCTCTCCACCCCGAGCAAAGAGCCCTACTGCACCGCTGCGTGAAAGGGAAGTCCTCACATCGCACAAGCCGCCCTTGCCCGTCAAGTTGAGGAAAAGTATCTGACTCCAGAAGAAGCTGGGCAAGGACAGAGGTCACGGCCTGCCCCAGAGGTCACCTGTGAGGGCCCGCAGGGTCTGAGGAAGCGGGCTGTCCCTTGCTGGCCGGCTCATTGAGACTTAAAGACTTTATTTATTTTTAGAGAGAGTGGAAGGGAGGGAGAGAAGGAGGGAAATATCCATGTGTGGCTGCCTATTGTGCGCTCTCTATTGGGCATCTGGCCCGCAACCCAGACCTGTGCCTTGAGTGGGAATCGAACCGCCGACTCTTTGGTTCGCAGGCCAGCACTCAGTCCACTGAGCCACCGTGGCCAGGGCCGGCCCATTAAGATTTAATCTAGAATGTTCCTGCTCCACGAGACAAGGTTCAGTTTCCCATCCCCCCCAGGGCCAGTGCCCCGTTAGGGTGCAGGTGGTCTTTCGGGGAGAACCCGCTTGCTCTGTTCCAGGGGCGAGGCTGTGGGTGGGGTGGACACTCCAGGCCACTTTTGGGACAGAGCCTTTCGGTTCGGTTCCTGCAGCCGTGCTCCTGCTGACCACAGGGCATAACGCCCCGGGGCCCAGATCGCCTCGCACCCCAGGCCCCACATGGCAGCTCCGGGCGTTCTTGCTCGTCCTGCCCCCCGCCCCTGGGTCCCTTTCACCCCCTCACCCTGCCCTGGTTTCCGTTCCCCAGGTCCCAGGTGTGCACGCCTTCGTCAGGCCTTGGGGAAGATGGCAGCCCTGGGGGACTGTCAGGAGCCCCCTCGTATCCCGCCCCCTGTCAGTCTCGAGTCGCCGGGGACACCTGGAGCCGGCCGCCAGGAGGCCCAGCCTCACTTCCACAGCCGGCGACACGGTACTCGCCCCGCAGTGCTGACCCCGTGGGCGGGACCCGAGGCCGCTGGCCGTGCGCTGGGGCCCCTCCGCCCTCAGGTTCGGGTCAGGACGCAGGTGACATCGGTGGAGGCTGGGGGCCGAGCTTCGTGAGCAGCGGTTCCTCGGGGGCAGTCCCCTGGGACTGTTTCGTTTGGGAGGGGCGTCAGGGGCAAAACCAACAGCAGCCTCAGCAAGTCCTCGCACCTGCCCCCAGGCCTTCGAAAGTCCTGTCCTGGTTCTGGGCAGGCTGGTTGGGGTGGGGGCCCCAGGGACCTCGCTCTATCCCCCTGGCCGTGCCTGGGGCTGTCGGGGGGTGGAAGTGGCTGGCAGGGGTGGACCTCTAAGCCCTGCACACACTGTGCCCCGGGCCGTGCCTTTGCTCAGAGGTCAGGGAGTCCCAGGGCAGTGCCCGTGTTCCCATCCACAGGAGGCCTGGCCACACCCCTTGCAGCCAGGGGCACAGATGAGCTGAGGGTCAGGGGCGGCGGCGGTGCTGACTGCCGGGCTCTGGGCGCATCGTCTTAAAGCCCAGGGGCCTCTCTCCCAGGTGGGCCCAACAGATGAGAGAGGTCAGGGTGGCATGAGATCACACGCAGCTGAGGGGCATGGGTCACCACCAGGCCAACCCAGGATGGGAATGGGAGCTCCAGGCTGTGCGAGGCCCCAGGAACCCTCCGGCTCCCTGCCCGCCCTGTGCTGGGCCAGGCCTGGGGGTGGAGGGTGCACTGGATGCTGACCTGGAGGAACCTGGACGCCACCCAGCGCGTGGGCTGCACAGGCCTTTGCCGGGCCAGCCCCTCTCCCTGCCCGGTGGTCTTGGGGCCTTGCCCAGGGCTCCCAGCCCCAGGCCCCTGCTGGCTGTTTCCCCTGCCCTCACATAGTCAGGACTTTGAGGCCCACAGTTTACCTCCATTTTCTCATGTCATCTTCAGAACAGCCTGGCGAGGTAGGACCTCTGTCCCCATGTTTTTGATGGGGACATGGAAGCCCAGATATGAGCCAGTAGAAACCAGCAGGATTCAGACCACGCCGGTGGGTGGGCAGGAGCCAGCTAAGTCTCCCAATTGTCTTTTCAGGTTCCAAGGCAGAGCCCGAGCAGGCTCTGCCCTCTCCCCACCTGCAGGAGGCTGGATGCGAGAGGGGCCAGGATGGCGGGGCACTGAGGGCCCTTCTGAGGGGCCTGCCCTGTAGACCCACAGGCATGGGCACCTTCGGGCAGGAGGCCAGCCTGGAGCAGCCCGCCGGCCAGCCAGCCCGGGCCACATCCTGCCCGCAGAAGAGGGGCGCCTGGCGCATGACACTCAGGCCACAGGGAGCCTCTGGGACCGGGGCCGGCCAGGAGCTGGGGGACGGCTTTGGCCGGGACTCGGACCTCGCGGCCCGGCAGGGCAGCCCGCGCAGCGCGAAGCCCCACCGGTGCGAGGCCTGCGGCAAGAGCTTCAAGTACAACTCGCTGCTGCTGAAGCACCAGCGCATCCACACGGGGGAGAAGCCCTACGCCTGCCACGAGTGTGACAAGCGCTTCCGTGGCTGGTCGGGCTTCATCCAGCACCACCGCATCCACACGGGCGAGAAGCCCTACGAGTGTGGTGAGTGCGGCCGCGCCTTCAGCCACAGCTCGCACTTCACGCAGCACCTGCGCGTGCACAACGGCGAGAAACCCTATGCCTGCGGCGAGTGCGGCCAGGCCTTCAGCCAGAGCTCCAACCTGCTGCGGCACCGGCGGCTGCACACAGGTGAGAGGCCCTACGCCTGCAGCCAGTGCGGCAAGGCCTTCGTCTGGAGCTCGGTCCTCATCGAGCACCAGCGCATCCACACGGGCGAGAAGCCTTACGAGTGCGGCGAGTGCGGCAAGGCCTTCCGCGGCCGCTCGCACTTCTTCCGGCACCTGCGGACCCACACAGGCGAGAAGCCCTTTGCCTGCAGCGCCTGCGGCAAGGCCTTCGGCCAGAGCTCCCAGCTCATCCAGCACCAGCGCGTGCACTACCGGGAGTAGCGGCCACGGCCAGACCAGAGGCAGGAGTGTGCGGCGCCCTGGCCTCCTTGCCTGCCTTGGGTGGCATCGCACACCCGGTGTCCCCGATACATTTCTTGTTAACTGACAGCCACGAGGGCCACGTCCACCTGGGTGAGGCCGTGGGTTGCTTGCTGTACTTGAAGGCCTGCCTCAGGGAGGGGGGCCCGAGCGCCGGAGCCGCACGCAGGTAACACGGTCCCCTTGCGAGTCAGGGAGAGTGCGCGAGGCTCGCCCACGCAGCAGGCCTCCAGACCTGGCCTGCCACGCCTGCCCTGGAGCAGTGAGGCTCGGGCTCTGGGAAGAGCTCCGTGGGGGTGGGGATGGCAGCACCGCTGTATGTTTATGAGCTCCTGCCTGCCCCCCCCAGAGCCGCGCCTCCAGCCACCTCCCCTCTCCAGCTTGCGTTCCTGGGGCCACCAAGTGCTTTGGACTTGCCGCCCAGTGTCCCCACTGGGCCAGAGGGCCTCCCGCTCCCTGGGGAGAGGCTGGAAGCCAGGCTCTCCCCAGACAGTAGCTTTAGGGCTCAAAGCACCTCTCTGAGTTGTCCTTGCTGAGGTGCTGGGCTCCCTGGAATTCAGTCCCTTCTGCCTAGAAGACAGGCAGACACGACTGCCTGCCGCTGCGTCCCCCCCCCACTCCTCCCCAGGCAGCGTGGCGATGCCTCTGCCTTCACGGGGAGCGGCAGGGTCAGCCCGAGCTCCAGGGGGGTCCCGTGTGGCCTGGGCGCAAAGGTGAGAGTTGATGCCCACGCCATGGTGGGAACTGGCAGCCCTGTCTGCTCACACCAGGGGACCAGGGTGAGACAGGAGAGCCCCTGCCAGAGGTTTTTCTTGGGATCATCGCCTGGAGAGGGGACATGCTTTTCGGCGACTTGGTCTGTGTTTCCCTACAGTGGTTCAGAGGCTTCAGCCCAGGCTGTGTGCACACGGGGTTGGAGGGAGGGGAAGGGGGAGATCCTGGACTGGCCGCGCACCCTGCCCTCAGGAGCCCAGGGCAGGAGGGGTCGGGGGAGCTGAGAACTGTCTTGTGTCGCTGCTGCGAGCCGTGCACGGAGGACGACCTTGCAGGGTTTTCCGACAGTGGCTGTGTTCCCCTCTTCACCACAGCCCCGCCCTGGCCTTGCTGAAGCTCTAACTCTCCTTGGTTGCCTGCACCCCCTGCCTAGGTGTCGGGGAGGGGGGGGGTCTCCTGCCGATCCCGGGGTACACTGGCCCAGTTCACACTTCCTAGGACCGGGCTTCACGGGGATTGAGCGCCCGCTAACGGGCCGCCAGCCCCGCCCCAGGGGAGACCCTCGCTGGGGCGCCCAGGCTCCTTTCCACAGCCCCCGGGGATGGCGGCCGTGCGCCGTGGTTGGGGACATCTGGCCTGCGCCGGCCCCTTAAAGCAGGCGCTCCCCGCTGCGGGCGGCAGCCCTGGTGCCGTCAGATGCCGTCGGGACAGGCAGGACGATCCAGAATCTGCCTCTCTGTCTGCGCCTCCGCTTGTTCCGGGCCATGCCCTCGGGAAGAGGACGCTCGCGGGCGCGCGGGAAAGGTCCCCAGGGTCGGGACGTGGAGTCGTGCCCGGGCCCCATCGCCTGCCCCTCTGGCTCTCCTAAGCGGTCGGTTCCCTCAGCCGGTCGCCGCGGAGGGTAAGGCGCCCTCCCCAGTCCCGGCCAGCGAGCGCCGTCCCTCGGGCCACTCCAACCACCCGCATCCGGCGCCCAGTGGAGGCCTCCGGACTCGCAGGCTAGACGCCCCTCGCCTGCTCTCTGGGGCCCCTCCTCCGGCCCTCCGATCCCCGCTCGCCTCGCCTAGCACCTCGGACAGCGCCGGCCGCCCGCGCCAGGTCTCCGGCGGCGGCGGGTCCTCCATGCAGCGCCCCAGGCGTGCGGCGCCTGCGCCCTATTGGCTGGGCGGGTAGGGGGGGTGCTGGGCTCAGACAGGAACCCCCGGCGTGGTTTGTCCCCGAGTCCAGGGCCTTCTGCTCCCCCCCACCAACCCCGGTCGCTGTGACCGTCGCGGAAGGGCCGCCCTCCACTGATTGGACTCCGGCACCGTCGGTCTCCTCCCCCGCGGCGGCCAGCGTCCTGGCTTCGCGGCCCCGCTGCTTTGGCCGCGGATCGCCGTCTGCCCGCGCGGCTCCCGCTTCTGATGGTGCCTTTCTCTTCATAGGAATGAACTTTGCAAACAATACATATCCTTTTCTTACAAAAATGTTTTAAGGGAGAATGACGTAAATTAAGTGCGCGGTGAAACCCCGGTAAATGCCAACTTGCACTTCAAAGACACCTTTAAAATCCTCAGCCGCGTCTGCTGTGCATGTTCGCGTCGTCCCCGCTTGCACTCGAGGCTGGTCTCTCTGCCCCGCCCCCCGCCCCCCCACAACGCCCATGGCGTGTGTCCTTTCTGGGCGGAACCCGCCGCGACCCCGAGGAGGGCGGCCTCCCGCTGTCCCACCGGCGCCCTGGGGCCATTTCTGGACCGAAACAAGTATCTTCTCTGGCGCCGGGAGGAGACTCGAACCGCCCGGGCCTTCCTTGCTGGCCCCGCTCGACTGGCAGCCAAAGGGCCAGGCCACTCGGTCTGGCTCCCTCGTCTCGTCCCCAGGTGGCGGCAGGACTGCACGCCCTGGCGCTTGAGCCGGTGGCGGTTAAGACGCTTTGGGCAGTGATGGGCCCGCGGCCCCGCACCGACCGCCGATGACCGCGGAGCTACCGGTCTCGGCTTCCAGACGCACAGCGCAGCACGGCCGAGGGAGGCCTGTCGCTTCCCAACGGCACCAGCTCCTTCCCCTGGGGCCCGGCTTCCCCATCCGCACAGCAACGCCTGAGCGGGGTGTTGTCAGGCCATGGGTCACATGGTGCGGGGCCAGGGATGGACGCGGGGGCTGAGCCGCGCGGAAGCGCCCGCGGGTCGTGCTCCCCACTCCCACCATTGTCCGCCATTGTCCCCTGCTGTCCACGGAGTGGCTTCCTGAGTCTGCGGCCTCCGCTCCCCGGGCAGCACTCTCCTTTCTCCACGAACGCCCACCTCGTCCTTCGCGCTCTCCGCAGTCACCAAACCCAGACCCACTTCCCTGACCTTAACCGTGCACCTTACTGGAGGCGGAGGAGCCCAGGTGGGAGACAGGTGCATGGGGCTGGAGACTGGCCGAGTGGGGGATTCTGGGGTGGGCGGGAAGGCGGGAGGGGCTGCTAAGATCGTGGCTAGGACGACAGCCTGGGAGAAGCCTCGCCCTGGAGCTACGAAAGCCGCCTTTAAGGATCTCAGAGGGAGGCCAACGCCGGGGCTGCGGTCCGCCCACACAGCGGTCTTCAAGCGCCACTGAGCGCACACTCCTCCGGCGGCCTAGAGCGTACCCGGAAATGTTCGCGCCACAGCCTCCAGGGCAGCAAAGCCCACCACTCTGCATTAGCCTAGAGCGTCGCCGGAAGTGTTCGCGCGGCGTTTCCCACCCCACAAAGCAGCTGTGAGCAGCCCTCTGGTGGCCTAGAGCGCCGCCGGAAATGTCCGCGCTGCGGACTCCAGGGCAGCTCAGCAGTCCTCCAGCGGCGTAGAGCGTTGAGGGATAGCCTGCGCCCGAGCCCCAGGCCAGCTGAGAACTGTCCGCTGGTGACCTAGAGCTTCCAGGATATGCCCGCGTCGCGGCATCCATGGCAGCTAAACCCACAGTTTTCCATTAATCTAGGGCGTCCGCGCGCCGACTCCAGCGGCACTGAGAAGTCCTCCAGCGGCCTAGAGCGTCCCGGAAGTGCTTGCATCCTGGCCTCCAGAGTCGCTGAGAGCAGTCCTCCGGGAGTCTAGAGCATCGCAGGAAGTGCCTGCGTCACGGCCTCCAGGGCAGCTGAGTACAGCCCTCTGGCGGCCTAGAGCGTCGCACGAACTGTCTCCGTCGGGGCCTCCAGAGCAGTTGAGCGCACAGCCTAGAGTGTTGCCGGAAGTGTCTGCGCCGCGAGTGAAGGGCCTTCGGTGCTTCGGGGTGACAACGCGACTGCAGGCAAGTTGGGCGACGGGGAAGGGGACTGCTGGTGTTGGGGCCGAGCCGAGCGCGACCGAGAGACCAGGATTGAGGGTCGCGTGTCTATCCTGAGTTGTCGCTGCAGAAGAGCCGCGGGTCCACTGAGGGGAGTGAAAGCGGGAAGCCGGGCCCAGCGGCTGCGATCAGGGGGCAGCTTCCCGGGACCAGCGTTACGGCCACCAGGGGTCACTGCGCTCCCAGTCGCTGGCGTTGGGGTGATGGCCCTGTTTTTCCTGTGAAATGACGTATTTCACAGGGTTTCCTCTGCAAAATTCGAGGTGAAGTTCCCGCGTAGATAAGCCATGATTTCGGTGTGGGGAGGTCCCAGGATGAGGGGCACGTGCGACCCCGGGGCCTTTGTAAATTGTCCGTGGCCGCCAGGCGCGCAGCGGTGAACCAGGGGAATGTGCTTTCAGAGTAAAACGCGGTGTTGAAGGGGACAAGTGTGGGGCTTGATTTGTTGGCCACTTGTTTTCTTTGCTGGGTTGTGTGCGCGTGACTTTTACCATTTTTTCTTACACAAATATATTTTAGTACGTTTTATTGATATTACAGTTGTTCCCCCTTTATTCCCCTCCGCCCGCCCCCCGCCCCTGCCTTCAGTTCGCGTCCGTGGGGCGGACGTACAAGTTCCTTGGCTTCCCTGTTTCCCGCACGATCCCGAACCTCCCCGCCTCTTCCGTGCCCACCAGTTACGCTGCTGGTTCCCTGCGCCTTTTCCCCCACTCGCCCCCTCCCCCTCCCGCCGATAACCCTCCCTGTGATCTCCATTTCTGGGATTCTCTTCCTGTTCTAGTTGTTTGCTTAGTTTTTGTGTTTTAGGTTCAGTTGTTGATGGTTGCGAGTTTGTTGTCATTTTACTGTTCCTAGTTTTGATCTTTTTCTTAGTTAAGTCCTTTTAACATTTCCTATAATAAGGCTTTGGTGGTAATGACCTTTAATTTGACCTCGTCTGGGAAGCGCTTTGTCGGCCCTTCCAGGCTAAAGGACAGCTTTGCAGGAAAGAGTGACCTTGGATGCAGGTCCTTGTCTGTCATGACTTTGAATACTTCCTTCCAGCCCCCTTTTGCCTGTAAGGTTTCTTCTGAGAAATCATCTGATAATCTGATGGGAGCTCCTTTGTGGGGAACTGTCTGGGAACTGTCTCCTTTTCTCTTGCTGCTTTTCAGATTCTCTGCTCATCTTTAATCTCAGGTACCGTAATTACGAGGTGCCTTGGTGTGTGCTTCCTTGGGTCCAACTTCTTTGGGATTCTCTGAGATTCCTGGACTTGCATGTGTATTTCCTTGGCCAGATTGGGGAAGTTCTTCATTGTTCAAATAAGCTTTCAATTTCTTGCTCTTCCTCTTCTCCTTCTGGCACCCCTATGATTCGGATGTTGGTACGTTTGGAGATGTCCCAGGGGCTCCTTACACTATCCTTGTTTTTTCTGAATTTTTTTCTTTTTGCTGCTTTGATTGAGTGCTTATTTCTTCCCTATGTCCCAAACTGTTGATTTGAATCCCGGCTTCCTCTCCTCCACTGATGGTTCCCTGTGGATTTTTCTTTATTTCACGTCATGTAACCTACACTTCTTTATTTTGTTGCCATACTCAGTCATTTCTGCGAGTACCCTAATCACCAGTGTTTTGAACTCTACGTCTGATAGGTTGGTTATCTGTTTGAATTAGTTTTTCTGGGGTTTTGCTCTGTTCTTTCGTTTGGAGCATTTCTTTATCTCCTCAACTTGGCAGCCTCCCTGTGTTTGTTTCTGTGTATTAGGTAGAGCTGCTTTGACTCCTTGTCTGAGTAGCGTGGCCTAATGCAGAAAAGGCACCTGTAAATGGTGTGGGGCGGAGCCTTGGGTAATGGCCAGGGCGGGGCAAGCCGCTTCCCGGCTTTGTGGTTCCGTGCGGGAGGAGGGCTTGGAGAGGGGACAGGGCCGCTGCCTGGCTTCTGGAGGTTTGCCCAGCACTCGCCCCCTTTCCAGTCGCGTCGCGCACTTCCCACATGTGACGGGCGCCCTTCCAGCTGTTGCCCTGGTGGTGAATCCCACAGTGGGGGGGTTGGTGTACATTCTAAGTCCATGTGGGCCCTTTAAGCAGAGTCTCCTGAAAATCCGGCAGCTTCTCCCACGACCACAACCCCCACTGGTTTTCACAGCCAGAAGCCATGGGGAACTCTCCTTCCGGTGCCGGAACCCTGGGCTGTGCCGTCTCGCCTGGGGCTCGGATCGCTCGTTCCCAAGGGACCCCTCCCGATTTTTATCCCACACATGAAGGTGGGGCTGCCCGTCCGCTGCCGCCGCCTCACCACACCGCACCGTCTCCGCGCCTCCACCCCTTACCCACTGAATGAATGCGGCTTCTTTAAATTCTCAGTTGTCGGGCTCGAACTTCTGACGATTGTGGGTGTTACTTGTTTTGAGGTGTAGTTGTAATTTTTCCTGTAGTTGTGTGAGGCAAAGCATGTTTATGCCTCCATGGTGGCCAGAAGTCTTCCCCCCATTTTTTATTAACACTAAATGTTCTTGTATGGCAAAGTCCATTGGATTTTGGACTTAAATTGTTTCTCAATCCAAAATTGCACCTTTTACTTGATTTCTTCTTTCATACTAAAATTTCTGTATTTACAAGAAAATTAAAAAACCTGTGGCCATTTCTCTAGACATTGGAGGACTAGTGGGAGGCGCCGGGCCAGGTTCTCACGGAGCAAGGGGAGTGCGGTCGGGTATGGACGCTGCCCTCGGGGGGTCTGTTCAGTCAGGGCCTTGATGAAATGACAAATGGGCACACAGGTGAGGTGGCTTTCAGGACCCCAGAGGGCTCCGACCTTCCCTCCCTCCTGTCACTTTCTCCCCTTTCTTCCTTTTGCCCAAGCAGGTGTCCCCGCTCCTGGCCTGTCTGCAGGACACACAAGAGGGCCACCCCGATGGACACACATGCAGGTGAGGGGCAGGCGGTGGAGGGGTTACAGGTCAGGAGTCGCGGCTCCCCAAGCCCAACTGCAGGGAACATAGTGCCCCCCACTTCGTTCCTGGCACAGCACCCACGGCCCCCCCGCCCCCGCCCCCGCCCTTGCCCTGCGCCCCTTTCTTGGCCCCCTGGTGGGAGTCTTCTGAGAACAAGGCTGATCCTGGGCTTTGTTTCCGGGCCCCAGCAATTCCAGGCCCAGGCAGCTGGGGCTGGGGGTGCGGGTGCCTGAGCTTTAAGGCCACGTTGGGGCTGTCACAGCCGAGGGCGCATGTTGTTTCCTGTGGTTGCTGTCACTACACTATTATGTGACCAGTGCTGAGGAAAATGCTACCTTCCCTCACGTAGACACACCCTTCTCAGTGTGTGGTCATGGTCGAATTCAATCGTGATTTGTCCAGCCCACGCTTCCCACCTGTTGCTCAGCTTTACTGCCCCCTCACTCGAGGCCGACAGGCAAAGCCCTGCAGGTGCGGGGCTGCCCGCTGCGCCCTCCCCCCACCCCCGGCCAGCCCCCAAGTGGTCCTGGCCTGAGGGGCTGCCGCAGGGGCAGCACCTGCCTGTGGGTGGACAGGTCGTCTTTTAATCTAGTCTCTGTGCTCGCCCTGGCGGCCCTGCCCTTGTCCTGGGCCACCTGTCACAGCAGACCCCAATGATGCTACAGGGACTGCCCGCCTCCCGGTGTCCCCATGTTGTGCGGCCACATCCCGGGTGCTCTTGTCTAAACGGGCACCTGCCCTGAGCTAAGGGGACCTTGTTAACCCGCCGCTTCTCTGCGACAGCCCCGCGGGCCGCAGCTCGCTCGGGCACCGATGCCCGCGTCCGCTCTGCGTGAGCAGGGCCCCCCAAGGCGGGTGGGCGGGGGGGGACTTGTCAAAAGCAGTGTCGACTCTGGGAGCCAGGGTCAGAGGAGTGAGTTGGGACCAGGACATGCGCCATCAGCTGCGGTGTACCCCACTCTGGTCCCGGGCCAGGTGGCAGAATGAGCACAGCCGAGCTGGGGTCTGTCCCCGCTGTTCCTAGGACTGGACTGTCGAAGTGGAGGCGCAGGCCTTTCCCAGAGTCACTGTTCTCCGGTCCCTCATCCATTCCTGTCCCCCCAGAGGTTAGAAGGGAAGGCTGAGCAGGAGCCCCTGCGGGTGCCCGGTGCACACTGACCTCATGCTCTTTGGCCCCATGTGGCCGCAGGTGCCCCCTCAAGTTCATTGAGGGCCGACCGCACGCAGCCCAACTGTCGTCTCATGTCTGAACACACGCCCCTGACCCTCTTTTCCAGCTTTCTTCGCACAGGTGTCCAGTGGCGGCCGGGCTGCTGAGCAAGGCGCTCAGAGCGCCGGGTTGACGCCACGGCACGCGGCTTCGGCAGAAGGGGAACGCCATGGTGAGCAGGCGCCAGAGCTGTGCCAGGGGCCCCCGCAGGCCCTGGGTTTTCTGGACCTTTGTGGGAGCAAGAAGGCTGGAGAGAGGCCCAAAGAGGCTCCGCAGGGACCGGTCGCTTGTGAGAAAACTGGAGGGCAGAATGGCCACGAGGACACGTCAGGCATCACGTTGAGCGCAGGCTCCGCACCAGGCAGCAGAGGGCCCTGGAAAGGGCGGCCATACCAGTGCAGCACCTGCGACCGCAGCTTCAAGTGCTACTCGGACGTGGTCAAACACCAGAGCATCCACTCCGGGGAGAAGCCCTACGCGTGCAGCGACTGCGGGAAGGCCTTCATCCACAGCTCGCACGTGGTCAGGCACCAGCGGATCCACAATGGGGAGAAGCCCTACATCTGTAAGGAGTGTGGCAAAGCCTTCAGCCAGAGCTTCAACCTCATCAGACACCAGCGTATCCACACTGGAGAAAAGCCTTACCGATGTGCTGAGTGCGGCAAGTCCTTCAGCCAGAGGTCAGATGCCATTAAGCACCGGAGAACCCACACTGGAGAGAGGCTGTACGAGTGTCGGGAATGCGGCAAAACCTTCATCCACAGTTCCAATGTGGTTCGGCACCAGAGGATTCACCACGGAGAGAATCCCTACGAGTGTAAGGAATGCGGCAAGGCCTTCAGCCAGAGCTCCAACCTCATTCAGCACCAGCGCGTGCACACAGGGGAGAAGCCGTTCGCCTGCCAGGAGTGCGGGCGCGCCTTCAGCCGCAACTCCTTCCTCAGCGAGCACCGGCGCATCCACACGGGCGAGAAGCCCTATGAGTGCGGCGAGTGCGGCCGCGCCTTCAGGGCCCTGTCGGGCTTCTTCCGGCACCAGAGGGTCCACACGGGCGAGAAGCCTTTCCGCTGCGCCGAGTGTGGCCGTGCCTTCCGCCTGAGCTTCCATCTTATCCAGCATCAGCGGGTCCACAGCAGAGAGTGAATCTGGGACGTGGAGGACATGGAGCTGGGAAACGTGCCAGCAGGTGGGGAGGGGGGCGCCCGCCATAAAGCCGCCACCCCCCTGAGGTGCGAGCTGCCCACCACATGCGGGGAGGACGGCTGGGGGCCCTCGCTGGGTCCATCTGCAGCCACTTGCCCAGGAGCAGCCAGAGGGCAGTGGAGTCTCAGGAAGGTGAACTTCCTACATGGACACCACAGGTGTTCCCGGAGAAGGGAACGTGTGACAGACGCACGTGTCCACTGGCGTTAACTCGTGTCACTTTCATAGCGCTGTGTGTTATTTCCTGGGGTGTCACTCGCATGTGGTGCAGCGTATAGACCTTACATGTGTGGTTGTATGCGATCAGACAATTCATTTCAGCCTCTGTGACCACTGTACTGCCAGGACAGACCTTCTGTCACCCACGGGTGTCCTCCCGACCCTCCCAGGTCAGTCCCCGCCCTCAGGGGTGAGGGGAGCCCGCCTGTCCCTGCAGCTCTGACTCTCCTCCAGCTTCACGTTAATGGGGCGTGACAGGCTCCCTGGGGCCTGCGCCTTCGTTCCCTTGGCCTGTGTTGGAGACTTGCCCGTGTGGTAGCAGTATTGTTCCAGTCCCACGGCCCTTTTTAAAAGGCACGGCTTCCCTTCTGCCCGTATTGATGCTGTTTTGTCACGTCTGCTTTCTCCATCAGAGTGTGAGCTGCTCATGCCCAGAACGGCTGGGCACGGGCCTGGCGCAGGGGCGGGGGAGGGGCCCGCGGTGCGCACGGGGCAGCACAAGGAAAGATGCTTGAGAGCTCTGCACTTGGAACAGCTGCTTCCTAAGTGCTCCCCTGTCCGGACTCCACGCTGTCCCAGGGAAGCAGACCCACCGCGGTGTCTGTGTTCAAGGACTTTACAGGTTAGAGGGAGAGATGGACAAAGCAATTTCTGTAACACCCAAAACAGGCGACGGCAGCAGCAACTAGGAGCCCGGCACAGAGCACAGGGCGCGGAGAAGGGCGGGACTCCTGGTGGGTCCTTCACACGACCAGTCGAGGGGACAGACAGATGGGGCTGTGTGTGCGAAGCAGAGGTGGGCATGCACGAGGAGTGAGCATGAGAAACGCGCCTACTCCGTCTGTAGCCGCAGATGGAACAGTGTAGTGGTAACCACCACCGCCTGGGAGCTGGGACTCCCACCACAGGACGAGGGCAACAGGCGCGCGCAGCAGCCGGGGCGAAGCAGAGGCGCCCAACGGGGGAGACGTCATGGCTCCATGAACCTCGGCCACAATGCGGGGAGTGAGTCATGTTACTGAGTCAGGTCTGTCACAACTGGACAGACCCGAGCGGTCACCTGGCCGAGTCCCGGGCCCAGCGCGTGGCTGTGCCACTTGGTGGAGACAGTCTGCTCCAGCTGACCCACGGGCAGAGGACCACGGGGGGGGGGCCCGCAGCCTCTGGACTCGGGAACAGCAGCATGGCTGCAGGGCCCGTGTGGGCACCCAGTGACCTATGTGGCCTCGTGTGGGGGCAGGGCGCCCCACGGAGTGGACTCAGTGTTGACCTGGGCCTCTGCGGGGGGACAGCCGGGGCCTCCACGCTGGGCCCAGGCCCGCAGGTGGGCCGGAGGCTGCCGGTCCGTGCGCCCCCCACCACGCGGCAGCAGAAGCCAAGGCAACTGCTCTGGAGGAAGGCCCCCCTCCCCCCGGCACTGAGATCCTGTCCTGCTCCTGGTCACAGGTTGCTGCCAGACCCCAAAACCGCTGGGGGAGGCTGGAGAGAATGGCTGCCTCTGAGGCGTGCGGGGGAGACGCCACAGTGGCAAGAAAGTGACGGCGACCATCAGGCCCGCGTGGGCAGGGGTTTTAAAGGAGGCCTAGGAGCGAGAACACAGTTCTGGAGAAAGCGTTAGCGTCGTTGAGGACACAGCCAAAGAAACCCTGCCTCGCAGAGAGGCCAGGAAATGGGAAACGCAGTAGAAAGGAAAATGCTCTAATTTAAAATGAACAAAAAGTATCAAGAAATAAGAGGAAAAAACTGGGTAAATAATCAGTACGGTAGCAGAAACAACCCAAAAATCAGCAAACATGAGTAGATGAAATCGCAGGTAAGCCCTGGCCGGTGCGGCTCAGTGGACTGAGCCCCAGCCTGGGAACCAAAGGGCCGCCGGTTGGATTCCCAGTCAGGGCACAGGCCTGGGTTGCTGGCCAGGTCCCCAGGAGGGGATGCACGAGAGCCAACTAATGGATGTTTCCCTCTCCTGCCTCACTTCCCCTCTCAAAATAATAAAATCATGGTTAAAACATTAGAACAGGTAGTAGGACTCTGACTCAGAACCACACACGCAGTCACGCACCGTAGGTGCCCGCAGGGGCGAGAAGCCAGGGCGCTATGCCAACACTGGGAAGGCTGGAGCCCAGGACAGAAGGGGGTCAGAGGGTCCTCCCTGGAACGCCACCCCAGAGGGCAGACGGCGGCTCCGGCCGGCACGGCACCCCCTGGACCGCCACGCGCCACCATGACGCGCACAGCCCTCGGCACCCGCGTCCCCGTCCCCATGTGGGTGGAACGCTGGCCGCCGCAGGCACTCAAGGGCCGTTTCTCACGTGCAAGTCAGAGATCAAACCACAGCAGACGGTGGTTTTTACGAACTCAAAGGAGACAGTTCAGGAGAGTGAACGAAACAGTAAGTAACCTTGGATTAAGAAGTAACTGTGTCCATTTAAAAAAAATAACATTTTAAGAGGAACACTTCAAAAGGAAGTAACAAGTCTTAGAATTTAAGCATGATAGCCAAAACTAAACTTGTCAGAGGACTGATAGGTAAGCTGAGCAAATCTGTTTGAAAGAAAGACGAGGAGGCGGGCGATCGGATAGGACGCGTCGGGGTGGGGACGCGGCCATCAGACAGGACGCGAAGGGCCGCCAGGGTGAGCACGCCTGCCAAGACCAGAGACCCGCCACAGCAACGGGCGGGGGGGACGTGGGCGGACGACCTGAGATGCAAGCAGGCCCCGGGGTCTCTCGACAGCAGAACCACGAGGCAAAGATGGTGCTCTGAAGTGACAAATGAAAATAAAAGGGTGCAGTGTTGGGGGCCTTCTGTATGACACCACAAACGCCTGCAGCCAAACATTTCACCCTAAAAATGCCCTCATGCTTTAATAGTGGAAAAACCCCAAAATCAGTCCAGCGAGGCTCTCAGGCGCTTTAGAAGCCAGAGTCCTCGCCGGCTGTTTCGAAGGCCCAGCGAACTTCTCCATGTCCTGCCGTAGGTCCTCTGCACATGCACCCCGACTCCCTGCACCTGCAGGCGGAGGCTGGGCTCTCGGAGAGCGCAGGGCGGAGGCTAGGAGCCCGGCTGGGCCTCCCCGGGGCTCGGGGCAGCTACAGAGCGTGGGGGCGGTCCCCCGAGGCAGGCCCCGCGTCCCCCAGGGGAGGCATGGGGACCACACTCAGACACACAGGTGACCCGGCCTCCCACCCACCACAGGCCCCCGATGCCCGAAAGCTCCCTAAACGCGGGGCTGATGACACACCAGTCCAGGTCCCTGTCACAGGAAGGAAGGGCAGGCCTGTGCTGCCCACGCGGGCACAGAGGACTGACCTGAGCCCGTGCACCAGGCGACGCTGATCCAAGGGTCCTGGTGGTAGAGCTGGGACGGGCCCAGGGCCACCTGCTGGCTCTCCTCCTCGTCCGCGGCCTGCACGTTCAGCCTCAGGAGCTGCCCCTCCAGCCTCTGCCCCGGCCGCTCCCTCTCCCTCAGCTGCAGGCTCGCCCGTGGGTGCGGCCCCGCCCCGGGGGCGGGTGTTCCTCCAGGCTGCGGGGGCGGGGGGGGGGCGTCCTGCGAGGCAGGAAGGTCCCACGGGGCGTCTTCAACGTCCTCCGCCCAAGCACACTTGTCACAATGAGGAAACTTGCACGTTTAAGAACCGCAACCACAGCAATCGGGAAGGAGGGGGCCGCCGCACAAACCAGCAGGGCGATGGGAACCGAGCCGCCGAGGGCCCGCAGGGGAGCCGCACACGCGCCGGGGACTCAGCCGGCGGGACCGACTGGGGCAGAAGCGGCCCGGGCCAGGATCTAACGGGAGGCGACCGGCCCGCCCACGGTTTTAAAACTTCACGAAGAAAAGCCCAGGCCCAGGTGGCTTCACTGGTGAATTCCCAATGTTCTAAAGAAGAATTAACACCAATTCTTCACAAAGTTTCACCAAACAAAAGAGCAGGGAACACGTCCCTACTCGCTCTAACACCGGCACTGCCTGGACCCTGAAGTCCAAGACGTCGCAGGAAGTGACCGATAACCTCCCTGCCCCCCGTTATAAAAAGAAGCGAAAACCCTCAGCAACAGCGGAGGACCCCCCCTCGCCTACGAGCCGGACAAGCTCCGCACCGGCGCGGCCCGCCGGAGAGGCGCAGGGAGGGCTGACGGCGAACACCGGTCCGCACGACGCGCGCATCCGCGGGGCAAGCCCGGACCGCCGTCCCCGCAGCCAACACCCTGCCCGGGGGAATGAACGGCCGCGACCTCGGACCCGAAGGGGACACCCACAAGCCGCCCACGGGCGTCTGCGGAGCCCTGGCACTGTCCCCGGAGGCGAGAGTGACGCCTCTGCCCCGGGGCTGGAGCTGAGCACGTGTCCCCTCGTGTCCCCTGTCGGCGGCACCGCGCGGAGTGCAGCCAGCGCTGTGAGGGCGGAAGGATCGCGGATCCTACGGGCCGGGGCCCGCAGGGCAGCCCCGAGACACGAGGCCGTCACCCCGCACTGACCGCACCTCCACGCAGGGGCGTGCGGAGTCACAGCAGGCCCGCCGCCCGGGTTTCGGGAGGGTCCCCATCGCCCTAAAGAGCGGACCACACGGAGGCCCACGCGGCCGCCGCTCAGGGCGCCGCGTCTCCAACCAGCCTCCCCGGCGGCGCCTCCCGCCTCGGGAGAGACTCCACACGTCTCCGGGGCAGCGGGGAGCCCGCGGGCCAGAAGCCCCGCCCACGCTGGGCGTGCCTGGGGGCGGGCCTCGGTGGCGCCCCTCTCCCCACCACCCCCCAGCCCCGCGGAGCCGCGCGGTCCAGGCGGCGGCAGCGGTACGTAGCTGGCAGCTGGGGGCGCCGGATCCTTGCCCTGCGCCTGGTCCCTCTGCCGCGGTGCACAGACCCGGTCCCGGTCCGGTCCCGGCCTCTGCTCCCGCCGGCGCTGTCGAGACGCTCGCACCAGGCAGCCGCGGCCTGCACGCGGTAGGCGCGGCGTGTCAGCGCTGGCCGCCCACGGCTGGGGGCGCCTAGCTGGAGCCCACAAACACGCGCGCCCTGCCAGCCGCTCAGATGTCAGCTGGCGCCTCCATGTGGGCGGGAAGCTGCGCAGGGACAGAGGACAGGAGCCAGCGCGGGCGGACGCAGGCCCACAGACGCCCCTTCCACCCAGCCCGGGCGGCCTCCCATCGGAGGCGCCTTTTGACAACTGTCCCCGAGGACCAGCCTCGCGCGGAGAAGGCCCTGGGAGCTGACCTCTCCCCCCTCCGGGGGTTGGTCCCCCGCTAGCCCCTGGCAGCGCGGCCAAGCTGCAGGCCCCCCAGAGCAGCTGCTGCTCCGGACAGACACGCGCTCGCCTGTGGGCCGAGCCAGCAGTGGGCCACACGGCTCCCCCGCATGTCCGGGCGTGGGCAGGTGGCCGGCAGCCCCGAGTCTCAGTTTCCGTCTGTAAAATGGGGTAATGGGACTGCGGGGAGGACACAAGGGCACGTGTGCAGAGCGCCCCCCCCCCCCCCCAGCGCACACGGCAGGTGCACGCACACTTGCTGCGATCACCCGGGGCAGTTCGTGGAGGCCGCCTGCCCCCGCGGCTGCCCCGGCTCCCCAACTCCCACCGGCGTCTTGCGGCTGGAAGCCCGGCAGAGCGGCGCGGCTGCGAACGCTGCGTCCCAGCACCAGGGCGGCCAGGCGGTGGTCGCAGCCGTTCTAGAAGGAGCCACGCAGCTACTGGCTGGACGTGAGCCAGGACAACAGCTGCCGACGCTCCTTGCAGCCCTCCGTGTGCCAGGTGTGTCTGAGGGCTGTGTCCATTCCCTCCGAGAGCCCTTTTAAAATCGGGAAGTAAACTCTAGCACAAGGCCACCGTTCCTCCGACGGAATCCTGGCCTCCGTGCTTCTGCTCAGACTGCCCGGGGTTTGTGAACAGCACGTGGCAGGACAGAAGCCACAGGGGCTCTAAAGAGGCGCAACAGCAGCACCCAACAAAACCCAGCGACTCCAAACGTGAGGACGGGAGGGGCACTCGACACCGCGGGGCCAGGGAAGCCCCGCCCAGTCAGCGCTGGAGGCGGAGCCGGCAGGACTCCCCGCCCCCACTACTGCTCTCCCGCGGTGGAGGCTCCCCCGAGCACGCGGGCAGGGAAGCGACACAAGGCACCTGCATCGGAAAGGAACTGCACTGTCTGTTTGCAGACGGCACGACCTTGGGTATAGAACACCTGAAGGAGTCTATGAAAAAAATTATGAGCACTAATAAAGAAACCCAACAACGCTGCAGGGACAAAGTCAACATTCAGATACATGCCAAAATCAGGGGTTTTTTACATCTGCAATGAACAGAGAAGAATATTAAAGCATGACTCCATTTACAACAACATCAAAAAAGAAAACACCTACAAAGACATTCAGCCAAGGAGGTGAGACCTGTGCACTGAAAACTACAACACGCTGCTGAGAAGTGCAGATGTGCAAACACCGGGAACAGGCCGCTCAGGAATCGGAGGACTTCGTGCTGCCGAGGTGGCTGTTACGATCCCAGCAAGTAAGAGCTCAGAATTCAGAGTTTTATCACACACACTTTATTGTTTGGCCAAATTTTACCTGCGCAGGGGCAGACCCTCCACCTACGAAGGGCGCGCCGCTGCTAAGGCACTAGGGTTTTTATACATAAGCGGAGCAAGCAAGCAGGGTACAAGGGCGAGAAGTGGCAGTTAGCGATAGGCTACTTTAGGCAGCTTCTTTTCTGCTGATTGGGTTCAAGGCTGTTACTGGGCCCCCCTCTTCTGTCTTTCTCTGGTCAGGATGTTTATCTGAGGCAAGGCTCAGCCGTTGCCCTACGCCTCCTCCTCATTCTTGTCGACTCTGGCCCAGCTGCATGGGGGCTGCACCCTGATATGTTTTTCTTGGTATTAGTTCCTCCCTTATCCTCAGCTTTGACCCTGCTCTCACGGCTCCCTCATTCCCCCCTTTTCTTGTTCATACCTTGTCAAACCCTTGACTCAGTGTCTTCTGCGGCCAGCAGAGTATAGGGTTGGGATAATACCATTAGCTTAACAACCTCAATTCGGTTTCGCACAAATGCCACTAGTTTATTCAGGATTAGAGGACCAAACAACAGGA